GGGCAGCGGGAGGAAGAGGGTGATGGTAAACATCTCCAGAATGCCTTCTCAATAGTACTACGGTCATCATTTGAAGTTGTGCCTTCTTTTCTCTTGTACCATTTCTTTCGAGAGCAGACCATAAAAAGCACCAGTTTAGTTTGGGACAACATTTGACTGGCTATGTGGGTGGCCTTCAGGTTTGACACAGTGCGAGTTTGGAAGCCTTGACTTTGAGTGTATTGCTAACCTGGCGATGAAAGGGATGAGTGCTGGTGTGAGGGGCCTCAATGTGAACCTCACTGTGCCTCTTCCTGGCTGTGTGACCTTGAGCAAGTCACTTAACCTCCCCAAAGCTTCTGTAAAATGTTGAGAGGTGAAAAGTAAGGACTGGATTCTGTGTACTGGGTTTTTTTTTTTTTTGTACTGTGTCTTAGTCCATTTGTGTTGCCATTATAACAAAATACCCCGGACTGGGTGGCTTATAAACAACAGAATTGTATTTCCCGCAGTTCTGGAGGCTGGGAGTCCAAGATCAGGGTGCCCTCATGGTCAGGTTCTGTGTCTAGTGAGAGCCCACTCCCAGTTCATAAATGGCCACCTTCTAGCTGTGTCCTCACATGGGGGAAGTGGCAGGGGAGCTCTCTGAGGTCTCTTTTATAAAGACAGGGATCCATGAGAATTTCTCTCTTGTGCCCTGATCACCTCCCAAAGGTCCTACCTCCTAATACCATCACACTGGGCATTAGGATTTCAGCACGTGAATTTTGGGGCAGGGGGTGAGGGGGAGGTGGACGTAAACATGCAGATCATAGCATAATAACGTATCCTTCTAGTACCATCTTTTGTTGAGCAGTTCTCAATTTTCTGTCATTTCATTTGAGATGTTTAAGTACTGTCTTGGACTCTTAATTAAAATTTTAAGAAGAAGAAGTTCTTTGGCAGCCACGGATGTTATATTTTCTCTACGAAATGGACTATATTGATATATTAGAAAATACCATATCATTGAGCATATCTTCATCCTCTGAATTTGACCAAAGTTTTAGAGGGAATTTGCAAAAAGAGAGAAAACTCCTAAACAAATTTAGCAGATGTGAAGGAAGAACTTTCTTGTCCTTTGAAGTGTTGGTGAGATGAAAATCTGTCACATGGGGAAAATGGACATGGCTTGAGTTCTGGGAAACGTTGCTTGCCCATGTCTAAGCCTGTGGACTCCACCTTGGCCATTCTAAGTAGCGCTCCAGCTGTGGTATCGGGGCATCCAGTGCAGACTTGAGAATTAGGAAATGGGGGTTTGAATCCCGGCTTTGCCACATCTGAGCTTGTCATCTTGGGCCACTGAGTTAATCCTCCCCCTGAGCCTCAAGTTTTTCATTTTAAAATCTGAGAAGATTATGCTTATCTTGTTGCGCTTTTGAGGGGATTAAAGTGACAAATGGAAAGCACACAGCAAGACCCTGTCACCTAGTAGGTCCTTGACCCACTGAACTATTTTCATATGCTATTTATATAATTATATAATGTAATCAAATAATACATACTACAAACAATGTATAAGGTTATACCTATATGATATATACTGTATTATATAATTATATGTTCTATAATAATATATAACTATTTAAAAAAAATTTTCCTTTATTGATTTTAGAGAGAGAGGAGGGGAAAGGGAGACATAGAAACATCAATGAGAGCCCTGGTCGGTTTGGCTCAGCAGTTAGAGCATCAGCCTGTGGACCAGAGAGTCCTGGGTTTGGTTCCCATTAAGGGCACGTACCTTGGTTGCGGTTTGTCCTGGACCCCGGTTGGGGTCGTGTGGGTGGCGACCACTCGATGTGTCTCTCTCATGTCGATGTTTCTCTCTCTCTCCCTTCCTCCCTCCCTTCCTCCCACTCTAGCTGAAGATAAATGCAAAAATGTCCTCGGGTGAGGATAAAAAAGAAAAAAAGAAACATTGATGAGAGAGAACATCGATTGGCTGCCTCCTGCATGCCCCTGACTAGGGATCAGGCCTACAACCTGGGCATGTGCCCTGATCTGGAATCGAACTGGCGACCTCTTGGTTCAGGGGTCGACACTCAACCACTGAGCCACACCGACCGGGCATATGTAACTATTTTTAAATTACAGTATTTCAGAGATTCCTAGAACATTGAGATAATAGTCTTTAATAGCTTTCGCACTTTATTTTTTAACAGTAGAATCTCCCTTTTCTTCCCCGCAAACAACATCTTCTGTGGAACCAGAATAGCTGAGACAGGAAAGGAGGGAGGTGCTGCTGAAGCAGGGCTGAGGGTCCCCAAGCCCTAGCAGGCTCTCCCTTTAGCTACTCCTGCTCACCACGTGGGGACACCCTCGGAACTGATTGAAAACAGCTGCTCTAGGCCAGTCTTCATTCTTCTTCAAGGTCTCAGAGCGCTTGGGTAGAGCTAAGGCCAGAGCGCACATCTGTGGCCTTGAAGTTGAACCTCTAGGCACTGTGCAATGTTACAGGGCTGCTGATCCCACTCCCCAATGGGAATTACAGCCTGGTTTCCTCCACGAGGCAGCCGTTCCCAGTGTAGAACCCAGTGCCTTGAGAGACTGCTGGCTCCACCCCTGGATTTCCTGGTGGCCACACTCAGGGCTTTAGAACTGTGCTGACGTGGTCAGCATCTCCCAGTGCAGCCCGAACCATGCTGTGTGTCTGTGGCTGTTTGACTTAGCATTGAGTTTTGTTTGTCTGCTCAGGTGTCAGGGCCAGGTGACAGTCCGTTTGCCGCCTTCTTCATTCTGGAGGAGCCAGTAGGCCTGGGTGGCAGAGGCCGTGCTCATGGACTGTTACAGAGAAATCAGACTTTTCTGGCCTTAGGGTTTTTTGGTCTGGAAACGCTGTAATCCTTTTCTACAGACTTCATCAGCCTGTGTGGGTTGTGGTTTGTGACATCAATGAGCCGTATTAGGAAGCCTTTGATCAGAAGATGAATCCAAGAAGACATTATTATGTAAATGAGACTCGATTTTTTTTTTTTTTCTACAGGAAAAGTCAGGCCACTTCCTTGGCAGATGTGAGATATATGGCCCTTTCCTTCTGTCTTGCGTTAGAGACTCTCAGGTCTCCATAGAATAGCTGAAGTGGAAAAACACATGGTCAGGCCATGTTGGGATTTAGGGGTGTCACCATTTAATGTGTGGGGTCCCATGGTGCGCCTGCATCCGCTCTCCGCTGAAGAGGACTTGGGACCAGTTTTCATAAATATTGCATTTGTAACTGATGGCAGGCACAGCACTGCTGCTGAGTCCAGGAGCCCATTTCCAAAGGGAGGGGAAGGTTTCCTGCTCGTTCTATTTGTCCTTCTCTTATTCCAAGGGCGCCGACAGCTCAGATCAGCTCCGGTGCTCAGTTTTGCTGTGAGTTGTGACGCATGCGGCCAGGAATTTGTTAATGATAATAAAGTGCCGGAGTTGGTGAATTATTTACTTTTTCTCCCGTGAGTAAGTAGATTCAGCATCGTCCTGATAATGGTAATAATCACCACAAACATTACACACCAGGCCTTGGCCAGGTCAGCCCCTTCCTTACATCTTCTCGTTAAATGGGAAAAACATTGTAAGTATCCCCATGTGAGACATGAGGAAACTGAGGTTTGAAGAGGTGAAGTGACTTGCCCAGGGTCCCACTGCAGAGCTGGAGCGTTACTTGTATTCCTCAGCATGCCTGGATGCTTTTGTGAGTGAAGTCAGGGAGTTTGGGCTGGCTGTTAAGTATCCAGATTTTTAGTTAACGTGGGGGCAACAACTTAGAACCAGAAGCTGTGTAATGGTGGAGTTGGAACCTGAAACTCAAGCTCTAATGATTTTCCAGAGGAGTGGATTGCACTTCTGGACGAAAGTATCCCAACTTCTTTAGCCCTGAGGGCTTCTAGGACTCAAGACTTAGGTATGGAGGACGTGACAAAGGACATGCTGCAGGAGACTGCCTGCTCTAAGAAGGCCAGCACCGAGCCTCGTCTTGGTCAGTGCTCTTCTCCCACCAGCCGGAACCAGGCCTTGTGTCCACAGGGGCGGGCGGGATGGCAGGAAGGGTGAAAAGGAAGGAAGGAAGAAAGGAAGGGAGGGAGGTTGAGAAGGAAGGGGAAAGAAAGGAAGGGTGAGAAGAAAGAAGGAAGGAAGTTTGAATGCATGGAAGGAAGGGCGAAGGGACGTTTGTTTATTTATTTATTTTTTTAATCCTCATCCGAGGACATTTTTCCATTTTTTGTACAGACAGAGTGGGAGGGAGAGAGAGGAAGAGAGAGAGAGAGGGAAACATCAATGTGAAAGGGACACATCGAGTGGCTGCCACCCGCACGACCAACCAGGGCCGGGGACAAACTGCAACCGAGGTACATGCCCTTAGCGGGAACCGAACCCGGGCCTCTCCAGACCGCAGGCGGACGCTCTAACCGCTGAGCCAAACCGGCCAGGGCGGGACGTTTGAATTGAAGGAAAGAATTGAGGAGGTGAGTGGTAGTGGCACTAGTAGTTGTAGTGGTAGTAGAGAGAGATAAATTAGAACTAGGGTGAGGTCAAAGAAAGAGATACATAGAGAAGACATAAGCGTTTCCAATTTTTTTCAGGCATCATTAATGGAAATTCACTACTTTTTGCTGTTTCCCATATATCCTCCTTGCATACAGAACTGAATTGTATGTTTATTTAATGGACGTTTTTGACCAGATACTGGGGTAAACGAGTAAGGCATGATCCTCCTATCAGAAAGGGGAGTTTAAAATCTCAGGCAGTTACCCCAGCTGATGATCTTGTTGCCTTATCATTAGTAGAATCCCACTGTAACGTCATCCTCGCCTGCCATGACGCAGGTCTCATCTCTGTGTTCATCATAACAAGCGGGTTGTGTGTGATCTTTATCTTCCTTTGCCAAAACATCGTTTAAACTGTTTCCCACCTTTCTGTGAAGCTTTTGAGTTGTTTGTTATGTTGTTTAATGGAGTGTGATAATCTCGCGTGCAATGACAATATTTTTCTTTCTTAACCAGAATTGATCGTAAGATGTCCAATGCACACACCAACTACAAACTGGACGAGGCACAGGCTATAATGAGTGAGCTCCGGACCATCAAGAAAGCCATCTATACAGGCGAGAAGGAGAGACGGGAACTGATGCAGGTCCGAGGCCACGGTTCTTCAGAGCCCGTGTCCATTTGTCTGCCTGCTTGTCTGTCTTTCCTTTATTTAGAATTTTAAAAATGTTATGTATGTATTATATGCACAGTTCATATATATTCTAACACAAGCATGTATATATAATATTGAGCATGCATGTATATCTTTTACGTGTGTGTCTATATGTATTTAAAGTGATATGTATTAGTTTCCTAGGGCTGTCATATCACAGTACCACAGACCAGGTGGCTGAGAACCAAAGACATTGATTCTCTCAGAATCTAGAGGCCACAGTCTGAAGTCAAGGAGTCCGCAGGGCTGTGCTCTCTGAAGCCTCTAGGGGAGGCTTCCTGTCTCTTCTAGCTTCCGGTGGAGGCTGGCAGTCCTTGGCATTCCTTGGCTTGTGTCTTGGTCATCACATGGGGTTCTCCCTGTGTCTCTGTGTCTAAATTGTTTCTTCTTATGAGGACACCGATCCTTGGATTAGAACCCACTTGAATCCAGTATAACCTCGTTTTAACTTGAGTCCATCTGCAAAGACACTATTTCTAATAACTTCAAATTCACAGGTTCCAGCGGTTAGGACTTGAACCCAGCTTTTGGAGGACACGGTTAAAGCCATAACAGTGGGGGGATGCGTTTATATTGTGCACGAATCAAAATCACTCAAAAAGTCTTTGTTAAGAAGTTTTGCATTCTGCCCCTTTCCTTACCACCCGTTACTACTTTTATTAGCTATGGCCCCTTTGCCGTGTCTCTGCAGACATGTGACAGGGTGAGCATGTGCTCAGCAGCCCCACAGACAGCTAGCACTGTGCCTGCTGTACCCGGGACCTTTATCCATGTCTGTACACAAAGAGCTTCTTTATCCACAGTGTTCTGCCACGTGCATAGATTACATTATATGGCTGGGATCATTGTAGCTTTATGTTGCTATTTTTTTGCACCTTCAATTCTTGTAGTTTCTGTTATTTTTAGAAAAAGTGGATTTTGCAAATGGATGCATGCTGGTCTTTTGTTCCATGCTGGCATGCATTCAGTTGTTTCTATTATGGCTTTTATTTTTTGCTCAACATACTAAGTGAGCACCTAGTGCCTGGTAGGCATTTGTCTTGCTTCTGCTGAATGTAAGACATAGAAGGCTGTGGGAAGCAGAGCTCAAATTCATCAGCCAAACAAGCCAGGTGCACATGTAACTGCCTTGTAGGCAGAGACTTGTGGAGTGTCCCCATGGTGCTCACTGAATTTCAGATTACCTAGCCCCACCCCAGGCCTACTGGATTGAATTTCTGGCCGTGGGACCCAGACATCTGTACTTTCAGACACCCTCTCTAGGCCATGAGAGGTCAGAAGTCAATTGACAGGTTTTCTCTGAGCACTGGTAGCAAGGACAACAGCTGTCATTCACTGAGCCGGGCAGGCTCCATCACGGGGACACAGAGGCCTGGCCCCAGGAGGTCGAGCTGTCCCCCTGCCCTGCCCTTTCTTTTTTAAATTTTTTTAATCTTCAGATGGAGGAAGAGAGAAAGATAAGCATCCATGTGAGAGAGACACATCGACTGGTTGCCACCCACACGATTGCAACTGGGGCCGGGGACAAACTGCAACCGAGGGACATGCCCTTAGCGGGAACCGAACCTGGGACTCCCTGGTCCACGGGCCTATGCTCTAACCACTGAGCAGACCTGGCCAGGGCTGCCCTGACCTTTCTGAGTGTGTAGGGCTGGGGCACAGCCACCCAGTTGCCTCAGTTGGGTTCCCCACTCTGGAGGCTGGAGATCGAATTTCTTGAGGAAGCTTCAGATCCCAGCATCTCTTCTCTGAGAAGATCCAGAGAGAGGCCTAGGCAACATCATCTTATAGTAAAAGCAACTAAGCTGTTTTGTCTTTTTTATATGAGCTTAACAATCGACCCATTCTAGAGCCAGCTACGTGTGTTTAGACGGCACCTGGGCATCTTGGTGTCTGCAGAAATAGTCTTTGAAAAAATTGTAGAAAATTTAATTTCTTTTTAACTTTCACCCAAAGGGGTTCTGTGTGCCAGAATACGTACTTCCTCTGATTTTTGGCCAGCTAACATACATATGAGAGGACGTTTGACCATGTAGAATTATGCTTGAAAAGTCAGGTTATAAAAATGTGTAAAGATCACCTGAGAGCTGTTTTCACCTGTGTGGTTTACAAAGATTGCAGACTTATTTATTGATAGAACATTTGGTATGTGAATGCCCTCACCCCCCGCTTTATTGAGGTACAGTTTATGGACAAAATTGTATAAATTTAAGGTGTTTAATATGAATATTTGATACATATATATATTGTGAAATAGTTACCACCATAAAGTTAGTTAACACCTCCATCACCTCACATAGTTACCTTTGGTGTGTGTATGTGTGTGTGTGTTGAGGACTTTTAAGATCTACTCTCAGCAACTTCCAAGTATATAATGTAGTATTGTAAACTATAGTCACCACGCTTTAATTTTCCACTTTCTCTTCAGAAATGTTTGGCTTTTGTGCCAGGACTTATACATTCCCAGAACTTATTCATCTTACAACCGGAAGTTTGTGCCCTTTGACGGACATCTCCCCAGTTCCCCCTCCCCCCAGCCCCTGGCAGCCTCCATTCTACTCTCTGATTCTATGAGGTCAGGTTTTAGGAAACACAAAGGTTTTGAAAAATAGTAAAAATGGTGCCACAGTTGTTCTCTATGTTACATTCTGCCCAGAGGACTCAAATGCTAGGTGATTGAAATCACTGAGAATTGTATTAAAGGTGTATGGGATGCCGGACGTTTCTTTGAAATCGAATGAGAACAGGTTGGGGTGGTCAGCGCTCCAGTGATGAAGCTGCCGCCCTGGACTCGGAGTGAAGTGACTGCTTTCAGAAGGAGACACATCAACATGTCCGTTCAGGTGTCTTGTTCATTTTGTTGCAGAGCCTGGCCAAGCTCACTGACGGCTTCAGGAATAACTTTTCTCTGACTGAACCGCAGCAAGAGTTCCTTCACCATCCAGGTGCACTGGGCGATCCTCAGCAGTTCTGCGATGCTGGGTCTCAGACCGACATCATTGGCGAGGTATTTGCACCGAGGGAAGGATGGAGTGGGCCGAGGGACAGGGCTGCTCTTGTGTGGCCAGCACTCATTTGCTTTAATTTCCCACTTTCTCTTCAGAATCGTTTTGGCTTTTGTGCCATTACGTTTGAAGGAAAAATACCGTGAAGGTTCTGTGGCCTGGGATGCAATTAAATTGCTTATTACCTTTAACTTTGTGATTCAGATTCTTACAAATGGCAGCATCCTTTTTTGAGAGTTGAGTTTTTTTTTTGTTTTTTTTTGACAGACATAAGACTTTTTAGAGCATGGAGCAGCTAACCTTTTCTGGAAAAGTCTAGATAGTAAATATTTGCGGCCTTGCAGTCTCTGCCACACCTACTCAATTGTGTTGTTGTAACACAAAAGCAAACATAGGGGAGATGTGAACTAATGGGCAAGGCTGCCATCTTTGGGTTATACTTTGGTGCTGTTTCTTTTCTTTTTTTTAAAATTTTTTATTCTCACCTGAGGATATTTTTCATTGCTTTTTGACAGGATGGAAGGGAAGGAGGGAAGGAGAGAGAGAGAGAGAGGGAGGGGGAGAGAGAGAGAGAGAGAGGGAGGGAGGGAGAGAGAGAGAGAGAGAGGGAGGGAGGGAGAGAGAGAGAGAGAGAGATGTGAGAGAGACACATCGATTTTGTTGCCTATGGCACAACTCCGACAGGGGCTGGGGATTGAACCTGCAACCCAGGTGCAGTGTGCCCTTGACTAGGAATCGAACCCTCCAGCCTTCAGTCCACAGGCAGATGTTCTAACCACTGAGCAAACCTAGTCAGGGTGGTGCTATTTCTTATTCTTCTAAAAGAATGTCACTAAATTGAATTGAAGTAAAATTCATTTTGTTCGGGACTTGAAAGAATTTCAGAGTGCCCCTTTTGGACGATTAGTGAAACCTTGAGTTAGCCACAAAAACAAAGTTGGCGGTCATCGTTGGAAGTAGAGTGGCAAATACTTGAAGACACTACTACTGTAATGTCAGTGAGTGAAGTTTATCATTTATTCATTACAAATGGAAAAGCAGTTTGGATGGCTTCCTTTTCTTTGGGCTTAAAAATGAAATATCAGTGGAATGCAGAATGCCCTCCCCCAAATTAAATAAAAAGAGAAAAAAGAAAGGGAAAAACCATTGACAAAAACCTCTGGGTTTTCAAGAATTAGGTAATATTTGGAAATTTTGGCAGATAGTGCCTCTTTGAGGGGACTATGATATTAATAAATAATGCCTTCTTCTGTCTTGGATGTCCTGGAATAGCCTTATTGTCAGTGTTTCTCACATTGTTTTGTTTGTTTGCTTGCTTGTTAATTCTCACTCGAGGATCTTTTTCCATTGATTTTTAGGTAGAATGGAAGCCAAGGAGGGGGAGAGAGAGAAACATTGATGTGAAAGAAACACATCGATTGGTTTATCTCCTGCACGACCCCAACCTGGGTTAGGGATTGAACCTGAGACCCTTCGGTCTGCAGGCCGACGCTCTAACTGCCAAGTCAAACTGGCCAGGGCCCCTTCATAGTTTTTAAAAGTGAGAGCAGACATTTTGACCAGGCATCTTTGGTTTAAAGAATATGGTCACCGTGAGAAGAATCTGTAAGTAAAAAATGTCTGGCATTTGTTGCCCAAGGCAGGAGGGAAGGAAAGAAGTAGAAGACTCAGTGAAGTCCGTGACTAAGTCATGGCTGCTTATCCTAAGGTTAGAATTCCCATTTAGAGACTCCTAACTAGTTTGAGAGAGACAGATGAGATCGAAGGTTCTCGAATGGTTTTCTGAAAATGCCAGGGGAGAGTGACTGGTTACACTGCTGTGCTAACTGCAGCAGGGAATCACTGTGCGTGAGTTCGCTGGGGCTGGCCCGGGCTGGCAGCTTAATGGCTGTTGGCTCGATTGAAGTAGTTGTTTCCATCCCCTTGTGACAAATGAGGGGATCAAGGTGCCAGGTTACCTAAGGTCATGTAGTCAGGGAGAGGCAGGTGTGAGTTTGAACCAACATCTCTGGTCCCTAACCCCTGCCCTCCCTCCCCTGTGCTTTCTACTACATTGTGCTGCTATAGGAAAATAAAGTTGACCCTTGAACAACGTGGGTTTGAACTGCGTGGGTGCACTTACATGATGTGTATCGATAAATTCATCACTAATCATTCACGTAGAATAGTTTCAAATATTTGTTGACGTGAGGTTATTTTTAAAAAATAAAACCTTAGTGGCCATAATATATGGTCTTGTAAGGTCAGATCTACAGATGCAGGTGATTTATTGATACTAAGTCATGTATTTCTGGGGATGAAGGGAGAAGTAACCAAGGAGAGCTACAGTTGCCTCCCATACGGGTCTTTTATTCCTTTGTTTAGGGATTTGTTCACTTCAGTGTAATTAGTATGAAAACATTTAGGTATAGCTAGTGATCAAGGCAGAGCATACCATTTCAAGTCTGGCTCCTACGGTAATGTACCCCAATCTTGGGCTTTCTTTCCTTTTCCTTTGGTTCTTTAATAGGCCATGAAACATTCGGAAGAGTCCTACAACCCATACCTCACACAGCTAGTCCGTCATCTTAGATCTGGTGACTTCTTAGGAGAGCATCATTTTGTATTTGTTAAAGAATGAGAAAATATACTTGCACAAAATGGGATGAAATTTTTAGCCTTTGCATCAACTTTTATCATGTAATTCCATATTTCTTTTAAAACTTAATTTGTGGTTTGGAACACATTGTCACCGTTTTAAAAGAAATCCACCAATGGTGAGAAAGCAAAGGTCTCCCCAGCCCCACTCTCAACCCCACTGGTCAGAGGTGGCTGTCATGTGTTTCCTTCCAGACCTTTGAAAAATGGAAACTGAAAGATGAATTAAAAGATTATTGTTACCGAAAGTTTAAATGAATTTTCTAGTTTGAAAATATGTTTTTAATATGCTTTCCTTCCCCCTCCTTCTGTTTTGGAAGTTTGTCTTCGACGATAAAACAAGACTTGTGGACCGAGTCAGGCTTAATTGGCAGTATGAGGAAGCCAGAAAGAGGTAAGAAGCTCTCTTTTCAAATCTTGCTTTCTGCTGACTTCCTTTCTCCCGTGGAAAGACTTTGTTCAGCATTCCTATGTGTGATGGTCCACTTTTTATTTGGAAAGCGGTATCCGACAGAATAAAAGGTAAACTATCTCCATTTATCTGTAGCTTCTTAATACATAGAATTTCACGTACATTTAAAATGATGAAATTTCAAAATTGCAAATAGTTATGAAGACATGATTCGATAAAAATAGAGACTTTTTTGGCTTTCCTTATCCTCTCAGGTAGTTCAGAACGGCCTCCCTGCCTCCCTGCCTCTGTCCATCCCTTCAGCCCCTCCCCTCCTGCATCTGAGCATCAGACCCTCAGACCAGCTTAAAGCAAAAATGGTTTAATCTTTTAATATGTGGCTTCTAACTTCATAGGTTAATGGAAGAAGTCCTGTATCTTGGTTTGAAAAACAGTTTACTGAGGATGAGGTCAACAGGTGACGGCAGTACCTAGCCTTGACGGAGAGAATGGAAAGGCAGTCCTTTCTGTTAACCTGCATTGTAGCTCATCTGCTTCCTGAAAATTGAGACTTGACCTTGTTTGTGCATTTTCAAATTTGTCTCCCCCCCCCCCGCCCTAGTCTTAACCATAAGGCATGGGCAAAATTGAGGGGTGGTCTGTGGTCCTCGCAGGTGCGGGAGTTTTAGCATGTCATGTTCCCCCTATGTACGCAGGGTCCCCACCTTGCCCTAGCTTTCATGTCCTTTTTTTCCGAGACTCTTTTTTTGCATTCTGAAAAGAATCTGAAAACCAAATGATTTCAAAATATGTGCTTTGGAAAGCTAGAAAACATATCGTTTTAAAGTTTCTTTTGTCACATAGGAACTATTATCTTGGGGGATCGGGGAGGAAGAATGGAATGCCAAGCGCGATGAGGGGGTCCATTCTGGAAGCTCAGTAGTTGGGCCTGCTCAGTATACTGTATCGTTCATGGATGTCTGTGAATCCACTTTGTTGCCTTTTTAGAAAATGTAAAAATAGCAACAAAAGCAGATCATCTGACTCCCTGCTGGAGGGCCAGCTTGGGCTGACATGGGCCTTTGTTTGCCCAGGCGGTCGACCCGGTCCTTCCTGGCTTTCCCCGAGGTCTCCGTGGTGGGCTTTCCATGGCACGTGGACCGCGGCCAAGCCCAGGCAGCCACGCCGATTATCTCCGGGCTCAGATTCCCCATGTGGGTTCATTCCTTCTCCGAGCTGGCAGGGTTGGTCAGGGCGATTGTCCTTGCGGAGCAGCCCTGTGCTCATGCTTGCATGTTTCTACCGGCACTGCACGACGTGGGTGCTGGAATGTGCTGTGTTGTAGAAAACGCAGAAACTACGTGGTTGCTACACTTGGGAACATAATTGTTATGTGTTTTGCTGTGTCATTTACCAAACAGAGCAAGTGATATCTTTGTTTTCCAGAGATGGTATGTCGAGATAAGACATTTGGGTAAAAAGTCGATTATCTGAGATGATTACTCGGGGGAGGATGGCCCTTCATCGGTATCTTTCGCTGAAGGTAGTATTTCAAGGTTGCAGTAGCCATAGTAGGAAAGACACTGTGGCTACAGAGGAGGGGCCTGTCCCTAGTGTGTCAGCCTTTGTGGGCCAGTAGGGGCTCCTCAGAAATACCTTTCGGGGCTGCACTGGCAACATTTAAAAAGCAGGATGCGGAGTGCAGATGTCCTGGGTTGGCTGGCACAGCACTGCCTGTCCTTTTCCCATGAGCGCTGCTCCCCGCAGGGGACAGGGGCCCTTCCAGGGGACTTCTGGCCAGGTCTGGGGACATTCATGGTTGTTACAGCTCTGGAGGATATTTGGCATCTCATGGGTGGACACCAGGGGTGCTGCTCACCATCCTATAATGCACAGGACGCCCCCACGCAAAGAATGGTCTCCCCCAGATGTCACCAGTGCCAAAATGAGGACCCCTGCTCTGTGCTGCAAGACTGGGATGTCTTAGTGGGGCCATCCCTGCGTGATTTCTCAGCAGCTGATCTGTGTGGCTGACCCCAGTAGTTTCATCCCCACAGAGACGCTGCTGGGAAACTGGAAGATGCTATTCCTACCCAACACCTGCCTTGTTCCGGGTGTTTTGAAGAAATGTGCTTTGTGTGGTGTGATCGATCACATGTGGTCTTTAACCTGTTTGGGAGATAAACTTCTTCACAACTAACACAAATATGGACCAGGGACGCTCTCGCTTGTGTATGAGTTTGTGTGTGTGTGCACGTGTGTGTGCACGCACACATATGTGTATACACATCAGGGTATAGATGTATGCTTGAACACATAACCCATGCACATTTACATATATGTGCATATGCACATGTGTATTTTTTTATTACGTGAATAATACATGCATACATTGTTTTTGTCAAAGGCACAATCAGTAGAGACCATCCATCTTCCCCCTGTCTAATCTCACCTCCTACCGTTAATGGTTGAGTGTGAAACCATCCAGTCTTTTATGTAAACATTTAAATAAATTAAGACCAGTGGAGTTCAACATGATGTAGAGCTTCTTTAACTGGTGTAACCCCCTCCATGGATGGGCATCTAGGTGGTTCCGGTTTTCCCTTTTCACAAACAGAGCACATCTGTTAACAGGCTCAGCCTTGCATAAGTGACCATTTCCTCAGACAGATACTGAGCAATGAAATGTCTGGGTCTTCAGACATGTGCATTGAAAGTTTTGACAGATGTCACTAAATCACCCTCCGAAATGGCTTAGCTGCTGTATGCTGCCACCAGCAGTGACCGAGAGTCCTGGTTTCTGCATCTCCTCAGCATCGTTATGATAGAGATATTGGTTAATATTTATTGGTTAAAAATTTTGGAATTTTTCAAGGCCAATTTGGAAGAGCAAGTCTTCTTGAAGCAATCTCAATGACGCAGATACCTCCTTATTTTTAACCTAAGAGCACTTGTTCCAGAACTGTGCACAAACTGTAGCTGTTGCCATAGAAACACTTGCAGTCCAGATAGGAACAAAACATTCGGCCCATCCAGTTTCTCTGTGTCTTAGTGTTTGTTGCCAGGATGGGTCCTGCTGTTCATTCGTTGTCAGGAATCAGTGTGCTGTTGGGATTCCAGTGAAATTTGATCAGTCGCTTGGATTTTTTCTTCATTTCTCAAGTGACCGTGTATCTGGGATTTGGGGGTGGGGCACAGCTATGAGAAACAAAGAAAAGCACCCCTGACGTTGTAGCTCCCTCTTCCCCATTCAGACCAAGAGAAAGAAGCCTGCAGACGGTCTGCTTTTCATTTAAAGACGACACTCTCTGAAGACCTGTACGTTCAAAGGGGAAAAGATGTGAGGGCAGACGGGAATGTTGGGGTATTAGTAGACTCTAATGCCACACATTCTAGATTCAGACTTCTTGAGTTTCCAATGTAGAAGAAAGAGTTGAGCCCAGTGGACAATGGATTATCGATATTTAGTTCAATAAGCTGAAGTGACCTCATCGTTCGTCTTAGATCTCAGCTGAGATTTTCTTGAACTTCGCTTTTCATTTAAATGGACATTTACGAAAAGAAGACGCAGGAGAGCAAACTTAAGGAGTATCAAGTCTGTAGCTGTGATCGCAGTCTGAAGGCCGAGGCTCTAGGCTGACACTGCGTCCTGGAATGTGGCATTGGGATCCGTCACGTCTCATCACTGTCACATGGGCCCGTGGCTGCCTGGACTCCCATTTCTGTTCCAGAAAGCAGCAGTATTTTAGGAACATGCGAAATTATAGAGTAGACTGCAGAATTTAGCCCTAAGTCCAATAATTGGGGATTACTCTGGATATGGAAAAATGCCTCAAAACTGTGTCATATAGAAAGGGCATTTTTTTTTTCTTGGAAAAATTCAAATCATATTTAAGATTTTCCTGTGAAATGTGAGGGTCCGAATAGCATCTGTGGCAAAAATGCAGGCTCACATTCATGGTTTCATGGTGCCTGGCTTGTGACAGAAAAGGTATTTGGGCAAAAATAGTAAAGGCAAAATGATTCCTATTTTACTTCTGTCCATGTTAGACCCATTCAGGGAATAGAATTTGGAAGTCACATAATAAATATGAAACCTGCATGCTTGGTGGAGGATTGGCTTTCATTTCCTCACTACCACGAGCACAGGGACATAGATTTTAAAGCTTTTAAAGGAATTTGTGAGAGATTATACACAGGCCATAAAATGTATTACCTATCAAAAACAAGAATCAATAAAAAATACAGTTGACTTGTAGGGGAAAAAAAAAAACCAACCTCTCGACAATTTTAAGTTGTTCCCAGTTCTCTTTAAAAATGAACTTGGAAAAGTTTTTTTTTTTTTTGTAAACTTGAATCATGACCTCACTTTGCTTCCATGTATTTAATTTCACTGAAGTGATATTTCAGAAAAGAGCCTTTCTGGAAATTCTTTTTTTGTGTGTTATCCAGAATTGGAATGACGCCACTCCCAGGAGTGGGGTTCCAAACATGGGGTCAGCTTTTTGGTGTGGATGTAGACGAAGGGGCGTTGGAACCGTGCAGTTGTATTTAGCATTAGGTGGAAAGTCTGTTTCCTCCAGTAACCCTAACACAGTAAGGCTGCTCCTCGGGATGGCTTGTTCCCAGGCCAGCAGCGTGGTAGAAAAGGCATATTGTTTTAAGGGCAAAGCTGTCTTGTCTATCCCTTAACGAAGGTACAAGGCATCATTGAAGGAATAATCCTTCTAGAGCTTTTGGCTTCTAGCACAGACAGACAGACACATGTGCTTCTCTCAACCTGGCTAAGAGCGGGTCCCAAGTGGCTACATCCAGAGTGTGGATACAGGGAAAGAAGTTGCATTTTGCAGTACATGCCAATATTCGTGCATGGCTCTGAAATGGGCGTGCAGTCATTTGCATGACTGTGAAATTGAATTATTTTTTTAAAAGTACTATTCTGAAGCACAGAAATTCTTGCCTCGTGTTTACCACAGCCCAAACAGCTTTTCCAGATGGGTTGCACCCAGGCAGCTTCATCCAGATTTTGTTTCTGCTTCTGAGGTTGTCCCTCGCTGTATGTCCTTGCATATTTTTCTCGTACGCTGTGGAAAGTTCTGGGGCAGTGTTTAAGCTGGGCCACGGTACTACTTGTTTGATGCCCACAGTGGGCAGACCTTTTGAAATTTGCCTTTTGCCTTTCCTCTCTCATCTAATTCCTTTCCCCCCCACCTCATTCTCTTTTCTGATAGAGGTGTTCCTTGAGATTTTCTGGGAAAGACTAGGATTACTAGGCTTGCCTCTTCTGCCACCCTCGGCAACTCACATCCTTGTAGTGTGACAGCTAACCTAGAGCCGACGCAAATGGAATCTTGATCGAATGTGTAAACCTCAGAAATCTCAAAAGGAGTGCTTTTCAAATATGCCTGCTCGCAATGTATGTATGAGAATTGGTACATATTACAAGGTAATGCGCTGTCTTTAGCTGAGCCCAAATAGGCTTTCCTGTGGGTCCGCTAAATTGAAACAAAAAGTCATGAGGACACAATGGATTTGCTCATTGTTCTTCATCTCTTTTTTATTTATTCCTCACCTTTGACTTGTCTTCATCTACAGTAGAATGTTCCTATACATTGAGTATAGTGTTTGATTTAGCACTAATTTATTTATGGGTCTGCTTGGAGTGTATTTTCCTTGGGCTTCAGTTATATGACTGCCATAAATTTTAATTAGACTAATTAGACATCGGTGGACGCCTAACCCCAGTTGGATTCCTAACTCCATTCAGCTGCCTCTGTCATTAGTTTTTGCAGTGACACGATTTGGCACCATTTTCCAACACATTTTCAGGAAATTAGTTTTAAGTTAGAAAAGAACTTGTCTAATAAAGCTACTGACATTCAACTATTTTCTTTACTGTCTAGGGAATTTGGACGTGAGTAAAATGCATACATTTACACTGTAACTTGTCTACTCCGGGTTTTCTCATTGGTTTGGTACTTGAAAAAGGAGTCGTGCCGGGTCCTCTGGCTGGGCTGACTGGTGCCCGTGCTCATGTCCAGTTCAGGAGGAGCCCGACAGGCCTGAACACGTGGGCCAGAGCCAGTTGATTGGTGCTACCTGCAGGGAGCACAGTATTGAGAAGGATTCTGAAGTCTGGATCCAGCAGGCAGGATGCCAGCTTTGATTAGTGACATGTGCCCTGGACACAGGAGCCAGTGGTCTCAGGAGCACTCCAACCATCCCATTTCGATGAGGATCATTACATTGGTGCCTAATACAAGCCCTAAGGGCCCCAAGGCCAGTGAGGATCCTCCAGACCAAGCCAGGCTGCCTGAAAGCAGGGGGTCTCAAAATTAAGAGGGCTTGTTGAAACTCAGATTGCCCATCCTGTTCCCAGAGTGGCACCGCCAGCAGGTCTGGGTGGGGCTTGAGGTTTGCATTTGTAACCAGCTCCCAGGTGATGTGGAGGCTGTGGGTCAGGGACCCCGGCATGAGAACCGCTGCCTTCGAGGCTGCAGGACTGTGCGCGCCTGCCATCTACCTGACCTCACAGCTCTCCGTGACCTCGGAGAAGTCTTTGGGTTTTGTTTTGGGGCATGTGTGCCAACCTCTGCCTTCTGCAGCACTGGGTTCGGGACGAGTCTGCCGTTCCTGGTTTCTGCCTGGAAGCAGATAACGCTCACACTTAAACTTACAAACATTCTACTCCGGCTTTGAAAGGATGTTCTGAAAATTCGAGCCACATCTATTTCACTTCATCTGCATCTGCGAACGCCACAGAACACAAGAAGTGGTGCAGTCGGTGTGCTGGGCAAGCGCATGGACAGTTAGGCACATGGAAAGTGATGATAGAGTCTGTATTCTTGCACCTTGAGGGTGGTGGTGCTGACACATTTAGTGAGGCTCATTAGCTCATGCCCAGCTCACCAGGACTGACTCTCACCCTTCCATACATTTGCTGGCGTGTGCATTCACTGCTCCATGCATTCAGCTTTTGTCAACTGTCTGCTCTCTGCACGGCTTTTGGAAGTCCACGCACAGTCAAGGTCTCCAGGGCAGGAGGGAGCCCACAGAGCACTGGCCTTCGGGGCTCCTCATTCAGGAGTGCTGTGACGGGCACACAGCTCTCCTGTACTGTCGCAAGGTGGGTGCTCACAGTTAGGCATGGCAGAGCAGGCAGGAAGCTGGAAGTCTGCTCCCGTGTCCGGCGGCGTTTGAGCTGGTGTTGATGGGAGATGGGGAGAACAGAGCCAGCTCCCTCCTGCTCTGGGATAGGACCATGTAGGAAACCACGAATCCGAACCCACAGAGCACATGGTTGTGTGAAGGAATGCCACCTTTTTGTCAGCTCTGTGACACAAGCAGGCTGTGTCAGACCAGGGGAGATCAACGACAAGGACTTACATGTCATTTTTCTACACACCATTTCCAAATGATTTATTTTTGTGATTGAAGGGTCACTCTGTGCAATAATTTCAGTATTCACCTAGCAGCTGAGTGACTTTCCAGAATCAGTGTAATGGTGCTGAGAAAGTGTGAAGACAATTGTGTAAGTTCCTGGATTTTTCTCTTTCTGTTTCTCGCAGAGTCTCAAATATCCAGCAGCAGCTGGCCCAGCTTGATAGTGAATCCTGGCCGGGCATGGCCGAGGCTGACAGGGACCGGCTGCAGCTCATCAAGGAGAAGGAAGCCCTGCTGCAGGAGCTGCAGCTCATCATCCAGCAGAGAAGGCCGGTGGAAGACGTGGCCCGGCTAGAGGAGGAGAAGAGGCGCTTGGAGGAGGAGATCCAGCGCGCACGGGCCACCTCTGTGCAGGGCGCTACGGAAAGGTGGGCTTGGCCTCCGCAGGCCCAGGAGCAGCACCTGGCTTTTAGTGAAGGACCAACTCGAAAAGCTATGTTAGAGAACTTGTGCGTGGCTTGAGAAGGGTCTTGGTTAGGGCAGCCACTGCCTGGCCTGCTTCCTCTCCAAGCGGAGAGAAGGTGGAGGGAGTGTGTGCCTTCCCTTCTGTCCATCCACCTGTCCACCCACCTGATCACCCATCCACCCGTCTTTTGGGCTTCTGTAGGGTCTCAGGCACTGTTCAGGGTGCTGGTGGTACATTTTCAAGGAAGACAAAAAACAGTCTGTGTTATTTGGGCATTTATGGCTTAGATGTGCTTTACAGAATTTAGCCATTCAAACGGAAATCATTTGCGGGCGAATTCATAGTTGAATTTCTTGTTAGGAAAATATACTTGGTGTCTTTGAAATTCACTGGTGGACTGTTTTCTTACCTACAGGATTCTGCTTCAGGAAAAAAGAAATTGTCTACTTATGCAGTTGGAAGAAGCTACCCGCTTAACATCCTATCTCCAGTCCCAGTTGAAAAGGTAGGTACCTTTAAAGAAAGCGTTACTTCATTTTCATGTTGTGACTGTCATGTTAGAATGACATATTTGTGAACTTCATAATTCCCTGTAGCTTGGTTTTCTCCACCAGAACTTAGAACCGGAAGGGGTGTAAACACAGAACAGAAAAGTGGGTACATGGTTTTTAAGAGGAGCCGCTAATACATGATTCGAGGAATATGAGGAGATGGTATTTGGCTGCAGAATAACAAGGCTGAAGTCAAATTTTCCCAAGGATTTTGTAATTCCCAGCTTCAGAAGTGTGTATATCCATCTACATACATGCGCCCGGACCTTTTTTCCCCCTTTTTTTCTGGTAACACAATTTTTATTTATTTACTTATTTTATATTAATTTATTTTTGTTACAGATGTTTCTCCTTCTCCCCCCATTGACACCCTCCTGGACTTTTTAATTTTATGTTATTTTATTGATTTTTAAAGAGGATATGGATGTTTTAAAATAAGATTTGGCTGTTCAATAATATCTCCTGTTTGCAAGTACTTACTGTATTGCGAAGCATGATGGTAAGGGCTTTGTATGTCTAATTTCCTCAGTGATTCCGTGTAAGAGTGCCAGGAGGTAGGACTGTGCGTCACCGCCCCCAGTGAGAAAGTGGGAAGCTCAGAAAGGGCAAATAAGTTGACCACCTGGACTCAGCTGGTCCGCCTTCGAGCCGGACCTTGAACTTAGGCATGACTCCTTGATATTAACTACTGCTCTCTACAAACAGATAAAGGAACTATTCATGAAGGTGCCGTACAGTGCTTGCAGGTGTCTAAAGACATGTTCCGGTCCATGGGAGAATGAGGCAGGATTCTGTTCCCTCGGGAACAGACTGGCTGCTCAGCTTTGCCATGAACAGCAGGGCTCCAGTGCCGATCTTTGGGCTACTTTTCTAGGGGCGTGGGCTCTCTCGTTTCAGCCTGTCTGCCAGCACCCTGACAGTGTCTTCGGGGAGCAGCCGTGGGTCTCTGGCCTCCAGCCGGGGCTCACTGGCCTCCAGCCGTGGTTCCTTGAGCTCCGTCAGCTTCACCGACATCTACGGCCTTCCACAGTACGACAAACCCGACGCTGAGTGCAGCCAGCTTTTGCGCTTTGATCTGATTCCCTTCGACTCCCTGGCTCGAGATGCCCCTTTCTCAGACCCCCCGGGCCCCTTGGGCTTCCACAAGCAGAGGCGCTCCCTGGATACGCCCCAGTCCCTGGCTTCCCTGTCCTCGCGATCCTCCCTGTCCTCCCTGTCTCCACCCAGCTCGCCATTGGACACGCCATTCCTCCCAGCTTCTCGGGACTCGCCCTTGGCCCCACTGGGGGACAATTTGGAGGTGCCAGGCCTAGGCACACTAGACAGACTTCGGGCTCAGGCCTCTGCTCTGGGAGAGGAAGACTTGCAGGGTGCAGCGTCCCTTCCGCCACATGCATTGCCAGGAGATGGCGAAGGACCTCGAGAGCGAGGACCCCAAGTGGCTCCCATTGCTACCGGTACAAGTAAGTATTGACAAGTCCTGTGGGTTCCCCTGGTCCTGGGAGGAAGGCTTCAAATTCTGGGAAGAAATCGTGTGTAAGGGCACTGAGACCAGATGGCTTTCCAGAGACACAGTGAAATTCAGGACCATTGATTGGATGAGGAGGGGCGCTGGCCCACTGTCATGTGGGTCCTTCCCTGCTCTGTCCTGGAAAGGTCACTGAATTTAGCAAAGGAGTCCTTCCCAGGTGTTTGACTTGTTTCCAGGATGTGCTTAATTGTTGAAGATGGGTGGGGGGAAGAACCGCCTAGTCTTCCACATTCCGAAGCTGACAGGTACCAGGTTCCCAATGAGCTCTCCAGGTTGGGTCCAGATGAACGGTCCATGTGTGCCACTGGTCCCGCATGTAGACCAGTGTCTTCCTGTAACCCAGGGAAATCTCTACTTCCTTTGTCTCTATGACTTCATCTCTTTATCCTTCGCCCTTATGCTTTTCAAGGATGTAATTCTATCGAAACTGGAAATGAAAATAATTGGCATAATTTCAAAGATGTGCCAGGAAGCAGCAGTCATTTCTACCAGATCAACTTCTTTGGTGGTCTTCAAATCGAGAAACGGGGAGCATCATCCTCTCAGTCGCTGTTAATTCAACTTCTACCTGGTGCCAGGGTCTGTCAGCTTGTAGCCCCCATGGAAAACCAAACTGCTCTTCCAGAGAATGTTCCAGCTGGTGGCTTGTGCACAAAGCAGCGCCTGGGCTTCAATTTTCCTCATCTTGACCCCGCCTGCTTTTATGAGCCAACCTCTAGCAACTTGAACTTCCTCAGGTTTGAGAGAAGATCGAGAACAAGGCCTCTCATTCCTGAAGTTGAGCCCATTGAATTCACTTTTACTTGCACAGCAAAACTGCGTTAGGCATTTTATTAGGTGAGCACTGGGTAACTTGTATAGCATAGTGGATGTCAACCAGGGGCCTTTTGCCCCCAAAGAGATACTTGGCAATGTCTGGAGATATTTTGGTTTTCACAACTGAGGGGGCTGGCAGGGAGGTGCTGCTGACATGTAGTGGGCAGAGACGAGAGATGCTTCTCAACACCGCAGTGCACAGGACGCCCACCACAGAGAACGATCCAGCCCCAACGCCAGTAGTGCTGAGGTTGGGAAATCCTGGTCACATGCTGTTGAATAGTTTAGCAGCAAAGGGTAGAAGTAAAATGTGAATACAAAATCAGGGTGGTGTAGTGGAAACAGCTTCGGACCGGCAGCTTAGAGACCTGGAATCTGTTCCCTGCCCTGTTGGCTTGCTAGCTGGGTGACCTTGAACACATCCCTGGATGTGACTGAGTCTTCGTTTCCCTGCCTTCAAATGAGGTTATCTTTATGGGCTCTTCCATTCACCACTATCCCCTTACCCATGAGTTTTCTTTATATATAACCACGCTGGTTAATATATATATATATATATACATATATATATATGTATGTATATATATATATATTTATATATATATATATATATATAATATATAGTAGTCTCTGTTAACTCTTACATACTTAACCACGCTGGTTAATGTATATAGATAGATAGATAGATAGATAGATAGATAGAAGTCTCTGTTAACTCTTACATACTTAACCAGAGGCCCAAGACCCATTATGTTCTGAGACAGCCCTGGGCTTTTTGGCATCTCTATCATTTTGTGTCTTCTCTGTGTTTGCAAACACACTTTTCAGGTCCCCAGATACAATATTTCTGCAATTTACATATACAGGTGATCTTCATTCACTTTGCTGTTCTTTATAATCACAGGTTCAGGGCTCCTTGTTTACTTCTTTCATTTCCAGAAGAAAATACAAAATAAGGACCGAGTTGCACATCTGTTTTTGCTTAAGCTTACTTTCTCAGTGCCCCTGCCCTCCATGCCAACTTCTCTTTAAAAGTTGAGATGCAAGCCTATCAGTCTCATTCTGCAGAAAATCCACACAAGGCCCAGGGGCCCTTTGGGTCAGGAGAAAGACTGGGTAGGAAAGAGAAGAGTTGACTTAATTTCTGATCCTGCTTTCTTAATTTTTTCTTTCCCCTCTGTGGCCGACATTATAATGCTTCAAACTTCTTAGACAGAGATGTATTTGTTTAGGCTGTGGTCAGATACTGCCATCTGGTGGTCTATTTCTGTATGACAGTGTCAGTTGCCCGATTCTCACAAACTAGAAATGACCCAGCAGTGGGTCCTGGTGGGTGCTCCCAGAGGGCTGGGTTGGATAACCAGCTTCAGACATGGGCACAGAGTGATCCCTAGCTTCCCTAGGTGCTTCTGGACACGGCGGATCCCAGAGTCATTGTAACTCTATAAAGTTGGCCAGGATCTTAGCACTTGTTATGTTACCCTGCCCTTCATTTATGAAGCCCAAGGTCACATAGTTCCCTCTGACTTTCCATTCCAGTTTCGCAAGGAACAGTACAGTCTACATTTGACCTCAAGCAAGTTTTAGTTCGATGAAATTTTAGTAAGATAAACTTCAAAATTGCCCAAGCCTACAAGGCAAGCCCTAGGATATGATCTTCTGTTTTGTTTTAACTCAGTTTGAGGGAACAAAACATGGTACAGAGAAATACGGCAATAGGTTGTAATCTTAAACATTTTTTACGTTTTTACTGGTTTTATCTTCCCTGAATTTTAAAAGTCAAATGTCATCATTTTCAAATACTTTTCAGATTTTTATTTTTCATTGGTATTTGCTAAACTAAATCCATGAAATCTTTGACTTTGCTTATCTCTCCATTCCTTAATGTTTTTATTATAGTCATACCCTGTTTAAAATTGTTGACTTGAATTCTGCAGTTTTTTCACTTTGTGTTTTTTTTTTTTTTATCTCTTTTTCTCATGCAACTCGACAGAAACGCTCACTGTAAGTGACCTTGGAATTTTTCTTCACCTTGTGGGTCAGGCTGTGGCACATCTTTGTGCAATGAATCAATGTATCCATGATGGTCGGGGTGTGGCCAGGAGGACATAGCTCATAGTTGTACTTTAATAAAGTTCAACAACGATCATTATTGTTATTTCAACATTAATATTTATCATGCCTACTACAGTTGTGTGAGAAAGACCTTTTCTAAAAGGTTGAAGGCTTTATTCTGTATATTTTCCCCCCAGATTTTTATTTATTTATTTATTTTTCTTTATTGATTTTAGAGAGAGAGAAAGGGAGAGGGAAAGAAAGCTAGAAACATTGATGAGAGAGAACATCGACTGGCCATGCCCCCCACTGGGGATTTATTTGGTCCACAACCTGGGCATGTGCCCTGACTGGGAATCGAACCGGCGACCTCTTGGTGCATGGGTCGACGCTCAACCACTGAGCCACACTGGCTGGGCTCCCCCCGGATTTTTAATGGCTTTCTTTATTTTAATATGCTATGGCAGCTTTGCTCACAGTGCGATTTTTGTGATATTTTCTTCCTTTTTGTCAAGCAGTGTTGATGTCCTTAGGTCTCAGTGTCAGTGTTTGTCTGTCATTAATGATGAAAAGGCCAGAGATTTAAAAAATGACTATTCGGAAGTGTGTTTATTCCCGACTTCATTGGTCTTGCTCCCATGGTGCATGTTGTTGCCTTGAAGCCTTACTGCAGATGGCTTGGGTCTGAAGGGGGGTGGTCTGCTGTAGGCCTTTTTCTCAGCCTGGGCAACTGTTGAGCGCACTTCCTTCCATCAACTCTGCTTCCGGTTGCTCCATGGTTTCAGTGGCTGAGCCTGGGATCACTGAGGCATAATTCCTTCATTTCCTTTGTCTCTTCATCCACTTTGCAATGAGAGAGAAACTTGGTCAGAGTTGCACGAAAGGCATGTCGGAGCCGTGCCGAGTGTCCGGGCGGGGACTAGAAATAGCAGTGTTCATTTGCCGGGATCCGTGCATTCACCCGAGGGGTGCCATCTGCAATTCAGAGCTGGGGACTTTGGGTCCTTCCAGGTGGCAGGGGTGATGAGACGAGCTGGACTTGGGAACCCTCAGCTACAGTTTGAGAGTCAGTGCCTCCGGCCACCCCACAGTGGACACGGCTTCTGGCCCTAATCACAGAAGGAGCTGGTAGTCCCCAGGCTTCACACTGCAGGCCTTCAGGAGGTCGGCTTTCGTCTGCAGTTGAGGTTGTGATGCCAGGGACCACAGCCCCATCTGTTTTCTGTGATGTTGAATGTGTTTGGATTTCAGTGGTGTGTGAATAGTAATTTGGTTGGAAAGGGAGACGGTCATAGGTGGACTCACCATTTCCCTCAACTTGAGGGTACACAGATGTCTAAATTTTCAACTTCTAGAACAGCGCTTCTCAACCTGTGTGTTGTGACCCCTTTGGGGGGTCGAACGGCCCTTTCCCGGGGGTTGTCTGAGACATAACAATAGCAAAATTACAGTTATGGAGTCGCAACGAAAATAATTTTATGGCTGGTCACCACAACATGAGGAACTGTATTAAAGGGTCGCGGCATTAGGAAGGTTGAGAACCACTGTTCTAGAGCTTAGAAGAAAAGCCAAGAGACAACAGAAAGGACCTGTGTCATTAGCAGGAGGCATCCCCATGTCAGAGTGAGGCCCAGTCGGCATTTGGGGTAACACGTCTTTCCTGGTCTTTTAAGTATGACAGTCTCTCAAAGTGCGATGCGAAGGGGCTCCCCCTATCATCTCATGTTCTCTGTTCTCATTCAGGAGGTGAAAGAGATTTATAACAGCTTAAGGAGCTTTTAAAGAAGTAGCCAGAAGTCTATTTCTTCACTTTTTGAATGTTTAAAAAAAAAAAGTCGAGAGCAGCGTATTTAAACATATGCATGTCCATAATGGCGTGTCTCTGGAACCCAGTAACCATGTCTGTGCGCTAACTTAGAGTGTTCATTTCTTGGCCCCACGGTCCCTGCGTCCCGCGCTGTCTCCTCCTGACCTCGGCATGCTTCTTATTTGTAGCAGTGACTCTTCGAGAAGACGGCGCCAAGAGGTCGGAGAGAAGAGCACGCCGTGTTTCGGTGTGCCTGTCAGATTACTCGCTGGCTACTGATAGCGGGGTATTTGAACCTCCAACCAAAAGGTTAGAAGCTGATCTTATCTCCTCCTTCCTAAGCAGCTATCCCCTAGTGTTGCTGGTCAGCCCCAAAGGGACCATACTGAGACTTCCACATGCTGAGATTTGGTGTACACCCAGTGGTGGGTCTTTCTCTGGCTTCTTTACACATTGGAGGTTGGGCCTTACCCCCTGCACAGAAAAGTCCTCTGGCTTCAGTGTGGCGTTGGAGGCTGGTCCCTGTCCTGTGGTTCCAGGATGACTTCTCTCTCTGGCCCTGGTGGGCTTAAGGCTTAAGCCCAGTAGAGCTAGAAAAGGAAGCTCCATACGAGAGAGACCTGCTCGACCTGCTCCTCTAGAAGGGACACTTATTAGAAATGAATGTCCTCATTTCCTGAGCTAGAGGAATCACTTGGCAATGAAAAAGCACCTTTGGGGACTTGGGGTGTTACTTGCATTTGGTATCAACCGTCATTGTTTCATTTCACTTAGTGCAAACTTTTCAGAAGTGCATTTGTGAACTTTGCCCTGAATGTCACATGTGGTTTTGAAAGATATTTTCTAAAATATAACAGTTCATAGGCGGATCCCAGTAAGATGCGTCAGGGACCCGGGGACCTGCTGTGCCCTGCAGTCACTTGAAGAATGTATTTACTTATGTCGTAATTTAATAAAAATCCTCTCAGTACAAAGCACCCCTAACATGAGAGAGCTAAACCTGAGGTCACCAGTGACTGGGGAGTAACCCCTGTGACTTTCTGGTTGTTCTCAGGACTGAAGATGCCGACGAGTCTGCACATGGAGACACTTGCGTTATCGAAGGGCCCCAGATCCATGTTGGGTATTGGTGAGTACAGAAGACACCTTCTCTGATGCTTGGAAAGATGAGCTGTACATTGGGGCACACCCAGCCACTCACACCTCCACGCACAGGCCAGGATGTATGGAGGGACCCTCATGGTTGGGGGGTGGCTCACCTGCCTAGGTACCCCGAGCCTGCTACAGTGGTTATAGGTGAGGGGACACAAGTGGTGGGAAGGAGAGATGGGGAAGAGCAGCTCCATTGCTGTCCTCCAACACAGAGTCACAGCTGGGAACTGTCACCTCATGGAGCCAGGGGTGTGGGGCCATCACGTAGAGGACGTTCTCATTTCTGCGTGGAGCTGGTTCTGTTCGCTGCAGCACACATGGCAGGCCTGCCCTGGGCTCCCCAGAGCCAGTGACTAGCTGGGTTGAAATGTGTGGCTTTTGGTTTCTAGCTACAGTTTCAATAGTGTTCAGACGAGCAAGGCAGGATGTTCGGGTCCCAAGTTCTCTTTTGCTCACTTTTGTCATTTCAGTTGAATGTTCTCGATATTGGCACTAGTGACATTTGGGACCACATCCTTCTTTATTATGGGGGCTGTGCTGTGCACTATAGACCTACCAGCATCTCTGGTCTCCACCCAGTACATGCCAGAAGCACCCTTCTCCCCAGTCGTGACAGTAGAAAATGTCTTCAGACATTGCACATCTCCCGGGGGTGGGGTGCGACAGAATCGCCCTCCATTACTATAGTTCAATCAGAAGCATTTATACAACTTGAGGAATTGGTGGTTTATGAATGAGTTTTATTTTCTAGGCATGACATTGGCAATGAATGTCTCCTCGTGAATGTGCTCCAACTGAAGAACTTCGCCGGGCTGGTTGTGAAGGAAGACTGCAAAATGTAAGCTCCGGGCCAGGGAGGGTCTGGTCCACCAGCCACGGCCTCCCTGGCCTCCTGCCCACGGCGCTGCTCACTGGACCTCTCCACTTGGCAGTTTGCGTTGGGGAAATGACCGGTCTGGAACCTGAATTGACAATAAAACCAGGGAGTGTCTAGTTTTTAAAGCCAGGGCTGTAAGCTTTAATAAGAGTCTGCTTTATTATTCGAGGCAGATGAAGTTGATGGGGTTGGCGATACTAACAAAGTGCCCGTCATTGGCCGCATTTGGGCTTAAAATGGCCATCTGGGTCACTGGGCTGGGTGGTGACGAAGTCACCCTCAGCTCTGTGATTCGATGAGGGGTCTGGGAAGTGGCTGAGGGCTCCCTAAAGACAGGAAAGCAGAACCTCTATTTGACTCCTCTCAAGTCCTGACTACTGCCTTTGAAGTCTTTCCCTTTGTGCGTGAGTGAAACCCCTGACCTCCAGGGGCATGTCAGTGCCTTGGGCTTACTCTTAGTTGAGAAAAGAACTTTCTCTGGAAGACCTGGCAGTTCGGCCGGTGGGCATCTGAAGAGGGGAACACGTGTATATGTGAGCGTGCGGGTGCGTGGTATCGTGCAGACTCGGTAGCTTGACTCTGCTTCTTTCTCCTCTTTGCTTGCAGACACGTTCGTGTCTACTTGCCATCACTGGACTCTGGCGCACCAGACACGTACTGCTCCAAGGCTGTGGAATTCCAGGCCCCCCTGGTATTTAATGACGTTTTCAGAATCCCTGTGCACTCAAGCATGTTGACGTTGAAGTCCCTTCAATTATATGTGTGTTCAGTGAATCCGCAGCTGCAGGAAGAACTGCTGGTATGGCCTGCGCATGCGAGAGCTCCCCCTCCCCCACGCACACATCCTGTCCTCTCCCTTCCCTGCCTCCCTCCTTCCTTTCTTTGTGTTTCCACCATTCTTTCTTTCTTTGTCTCCTTTATCATTCTGTCTTCGGTCATTCTCTTTCTTTTCTTTCTTAGTCTTTGTCTGTCTTTCTATCTTCCTTTGTTTGTCTCTCTCTCTTTCTTTTTGTCTGTTTCCCTTCCTCCCTCCCTTCATTTCTTCCCCTGTCTCCCTCCCTCCTTTCCTCTCTGTCCCCTCCTACCAGTTTCCTGTGGTGGGTTGCTTAGAAATCTTCCCATTAAAGATCTCTGTAAGTGAGAGTCCAGAAATGGATGACAACACCAGTTATATTGTCGCATGTTTTGTATTCTAACTATATGAGCTCAAATAATACTTGCAAAACTCCTATTCGACAGCTTCTAAATTATCCCCATTTTTAGTTGCAGGAACTAAGGGCGGACTAATTTGGCAAATAAGAATATAGGATGGTCAGTTAAACTTGAATTTCAAATAAACTATAGATACTTGTTTAGCATAGGCATGTTCCATCTAGGATTTGGGACACACTGATACTTACAAAACCATTGCTTATTTGAAATTCAGATTCACCTGGATGCCCTATATTTTCTCTGGCAGTTTGTCTTCAATTCCTTGGCCATCCACGGCCCGCTGCCCAGGACTTGGAGGCCAGAGTGGTTTGTTTCCAAGGTTGGAATATTGCCCTTTGGTCCTGGCCCCTCAGTAGCCAAATTAGAGATTGCAGAGTTCAGCCAGGTCTCTCTGATTTTCAGAATTCCTGAGAACAAGTGGCAGACCCTGAGCCTGACCCACTATTCCAGGTTGGCTGTTAGGCCCCTGTTCCCCTTCTAGCACTATTTGATTGGGCTGAACACACAGTCAAGGTGCCGTCCCTGTCCCCATCCCCATTAGGATCCTTTGTGACCACTTTCATTTCACTGCATTCATTTGAAAGGCAATGAGACATTTTACTTCGTGTCCTGTGAGGGTTGAGAGGTGACCTCGATGTTTTAGAAGATTCGCGTTGATTGTTACAGTGAAATCCCTCATTGCCTGTTCTGTAATTTTTTTTTTTTTAACACCCGTGCAGGGCATTGCTCAAATTAACTTGGCCAACTGTACCAGTCCGAGCGAAATGCAGCTGCGCTGGTACTCAGTCCAGGTGTTCACCAGCCCCGAGCTGCCCAGGGCGAGGGAGAGCCAGCGGGTTGAGAAGAGCAGCACCCGGGAACCCGTGCTCGGTCCTGCTGCCACCGTGGCTGCTGCAGCTGCGGCCGCGGCTGCTGCCTCTGGGAAGACGGTACGCATGTCTGGGCCACGGAGCTGCTCTGTCCTGCTTCCTGGCTTTGAGACTGACTTTTCCTGGGGCGGGTCCTGTCTCAGAAGCATCTGTGTAGACTTAGTCTTAGAACCTTAGAACGTGGTGGCGAAACAGTGCAGTTTCAAGGGAAGTCTTAAACATGGAATGTATGGATGCGCACGGCCATTCATGAGTGTTTTTTTTTTTTTTTTTATCCTCACCTGAGGACATTTTTCCATTTTTTGTACAGATAGAGTGGGAGGGAGAGAGGGAGAGAGAGAGAGAAACATCGACGTGAAAGGGACACATCGAGTGGCTGCCACCCGCACGACCAACCAGGGCCGGGGACAAACTGCAACCGAAGTACGTGCCCTTAGCGGGAACCGAACCCGGGTCTCTCCGTACCGCAGGCCGACGCTCTAACCGCTGAGCCAAACCGGCCAGGGCATGAGTGTTTTTTTTAACAGAAATGTGGTCATGATCATGGGTGGCACGCTGGTTGTTTTTAAATCTGAGCCTTCAGCTACAGGAAAAGGCCAGGTTCCTGCCTTGCTGTTAACAGTGGGGTGGACTTCGTTGCAATGGAGAGCAGAGGACAGCTGCCAACCTGGAGGAAGGGACCTCACTGTGGGGTGGGCCCCACGACTATTGGTTGAGCTCATTCTCAGACATGTCCTTCTCCTCCCCCAGGACGCTGTGACGGTGTTGCTGGCGAGAACCACAGCCCAGCTGCAGGCAGTGGAGAGAGAGCTGGCCGAGGAGCGGGTAAAGCTGGAATACACAGAGGAGGAGATTCTGGAGATGGAGCGGAAGGAGGAGCAGGCCGAGGCCGTGTCCGAACGGTAAGGCTCCTTGGAACTGTCAGGGAGGTGGCATGCCGTTGGTCAGGGATGAGGGCAGTACTTTGATCTCTGCCCCCTGCTCTCTGTGTAGGCTTTTCACCTTCTGTTCCAGGATTTCTCTTAAAGAGCGGGACTATTGAATAACTCCATTCTGCCCGCAATGAATACAACAAGATCCCTTTAAGTTTTTTTTTAACAGCTGTATTGAGATATAATCTACCTACCATACAATCCACCCATTTAAAGTGGACAATTCAGTGGATTTTAGTACAGTCACAGAGTTGTGCCACCATCGCCACAATCAGTTTTCATCGGGCCAAAAAGAAACCCCACACCCATTAGCAGTCACCCCTATCCCTCCTTCCCTCAGCCCCTGGCAACCGCCAATCTGCTGGCTGTCTCTGTGGGTTTGCCTAGTCTGGGCATTTCATCTAAATGGAACCGTGTGATGTCCCTTTCCGGTTTGCCGGAAGCGGCCTGTGGGTGAACCCTTGACTCGGTGCAGCCCCGCCTGCCATAGAGGAATAATTCAGATGACCGGCACCTCGTGTGAATTGGCCTCTGTCTGCTCCTTTCCCGAGGCGCTTTCACAGTGCTTCACGTCCACAGTTCTCCATAAAGAGCATCCTATCTCCAGAGCTTCCCAATTCTTCCTGTAGCTCTCCCTGGATTTATTTGCAAGGGGAATTGCTTTTCCTGAGGGAGGCTTGTGGCGGAGGGGAAGAGTACTGTGTTCAGGACCAGGTGGGAAGCTGGAAGGGGTCTGCAGAGGGGGTTCGGGATTCGGGCATCTTCAGTGGGTACAATTGGGTGATGAAGACAGACAGAACCTCTTAAGGAAAGAAAGGCCTTGTAGCATTGTCTCCCCTGGGAAACATAAGTGCACTTTGGTAAGAAAAGCAGTTGTCTGCAATGATTGCAAGCAAATACTGGTGTTTCTGCTGCTGCGCTCTGAATGCAGCCGTGAACCTGTGCCTTTGGCTGAACGCTTTGCGGGCTTTGCAACGTCCACCTTCAGGAGCTGGCAGGCCGACTCGGTGGATAGTGGTTGTAGCAGCTGTGCCCAGACCAGCCCCCCGCACCCAGAGCCCTGCTGCACTGGTGTGGACTCCATCCACGGACACCCATTTGCAGGCCAGGCAGATCCTTACAACTCTGAGAAAGTTCAGCCCGTTCCTCTAAAGGTAAGTAGAAAAGGACAAGGAGTTTGCTGGAACAGCACCTGGCAGACAGTGTGTGTGCCCCGCACCCTTCCGGGGAAACCGAGGGAATCGGGGCGGGGGGAGAAGGGCTAAAGGACACAGAAGCTGAAAGGCTCAGACACAGGAGTAGAACGACAGACGTGGCTGATCAACGGACAGCCCTGGTGACCGTGGCTGTGGGAAACGAGCTGTTGGATTAAGGGATGACAGTGAAGGCGCTGTTTTACTGAGGACTGAGGACAAGCAGGGACTGGCTTAAGATCAGTAAAGAGGACCATGGAAATGTTTCTCAACTTGAAATGAAAAAGAAAGGACAACTACAGCTACAAAGTGTTGACTTTTACGCCTTGACATGTCATCTGGTGATGACCTAGTCCCATCTCCAGGGCCACCCACAGCATAGGCTGTTCCGGGGGTCCCACGGTTTTGGACCCTTGCTTTTCTTGCTCCAGGATGGTAAGAACAGTGAAGTGTCCTTTTTGGCCCCTTCTGTTCACCTGATCTTAGTTGTGTCCATCAGCATGTCTTCAGAGAGGCCATCTTTCAGGCATGCAGTGACAAATGTCTGAAGGGAACCAGTGCAGTTGGATGCTACCATAGTGAGGCTCTATTGAAACTTTGTTCCCAGCCCTGGCCGGTTTGGCTCAGCGGTTAGAGCGTCGGCCTGTGATCCGGAGAGACCCGGGTTCAGTTCCCGCTAAGGGCATGTACCTCGGTCGCAGTTTGTCCCCGGCCCTGGTTGGTCATGCAGGTGGCAGCCACTCGATGTGTCCCTTCACATCGATGTTTCTGTCTCTCTCTCCCTTCCTCTCTCTCCCTCCCGCTCTATCTGTACAAAAAATAGAAAAATATCCTCGGGTGAGGATAAAAAAAAAAAAAAGAAACTTTGTTCCCAAACTGTTCAGCTCATCCAAGCAGCTTATCACCATGCCCCCGGACCTCACCCCCAACACAAATGCTGAGAGAAGTGAAATCCGCCCCCTCGGCAGCTTCCTGGGCCTCAGCGTGTTCAGCGCCTTCGGAGAGCTGTGAGGCTAGGCGACAGGCATTGCCGCCGCCCGACTTCCGATCCCCTTCGAAAGTATTGGCCCAGATCATGGGGAGTGGCTGGGGGAAGCTAGTAGGTGTGTCTCACTTCATCCTTTAATTGGAAAATACTTCAAATCTTTGGAAACGTCGCTAGACTAATACAATGAAGACCCATATAGCCTTCACGTAGACTCCCTGGTAGTTAGTTCCTCACCACGTTTGCATTCTCTTTCCATGCACATGTGGGTAGCTGCTAGGCATTGCAGAGGCAACAGTGAAGAAAGCCTGCGAGTCCTGCCCTCGGGGGAGGCAGGCAGCAGACACGTAAATCAGTGACTACAGCAGCGTTTGAGAGTCCAAGGTGCTAGTGGAGGGTGAGACGGTAGAGAATGGGGTTTGCATTTCAGAAAGATTTTCCGTCTTAGAAAGGATTTACACTAAGAAATATAAATTTGCATTTACCTTTTAGAGAGAGCAGGATTGTAAAATGGTGCAGCCACTATGGAAAACAGTATGGACGTTCCTCAAAAAATTAAACAGAACTACCATATGACCCAGCAATCGCACTATTGGATATATCTCCAGAAAAATTCTAATCAGTTGTCCAAGAGATATTTGCGCACCCATGTTCACAGCAGCATTGTTTACAGTAGCCAAGAGGTGGAACCAACCCAAGTGTCCATTGATGGATGAATGGATAAAGAAAATGTGATATATATGTACAATAACGTTTTAGCCTTAAAAAGGAAATCATGTCACATGCTACAAATGGATGAACTTTGAAGATACTGTGCTCAGTGAAAGAAGCCAGTCAGAAAAGAATGAATACTGTATGATTGTACTCATTTGAGGTGCCCTAGAATAAATTCATAGAAATAGGAAGCAGATGGTGGGTGCCAGGGGCTGGGGGAAGGAAAATGGGGAGTTAGTAGTGTTCAGTGGGGACAGAGTTTCCACTTGGGAAGATGAAAAAGTTTGAGAGATCTAAATAGTTTCACAGCAGTGTGAATATATTTCACGTTGCTGAACTGTACACTGAAAAATGGTTAAGATGATAAATTTTTTGTTTTTTGTTTTTTTTTTTACAAAAAAGAAAGGAAGGTCAAGGAAGCCTCATGGAGAAGGTGATTTTTGAGCAGAGGCCTTAAGGAAGGAGGCCCGGGAGCCTTGCAGGGTGGGGAAGGGTGCTCAGGGACAGGAGCACAGGTGCAGGTCTGGGGGTGCAGGAGCGGGAGACTTTGGAGCTGAGGACAGAGGAAGTGAAGGGGAAGATCATGCACTTTTTTTTTTTCTGCGACAGTGGGGAAACTGGTGGAGGGTTTGAGCCCAGGGATGACATGATGTGACTTAAGGTTTTTTTGTTCATTTTTTTCCTAAAGTAATTTGTTGACATGAAATTCACATAAGATGAAATGAACCATTTCAAAGTGAACCAGTTCCCTGGCATTGAGTATATTCACCGTATTGTACAACCACGGCTTTTGTCTGTTTCCCAAACACTTCTGTCACCCCACCCCCATGAACAGTCACTCCCCACTCTGTCTACCCCGGCCCCTGACAACCACCCATCTGTTTCCTGTCTCTGTGGATATGCCAGTTCTGGACGTTTCGTGTGAATGGATTCGTGCAATATGTGCCCTTTTGTGACGGGCTTCTCTTACTCAGCCTAATGCTTTTAAGGTTCATCCATGTTGTGGCATCTCTCAAGACTTCAGCCCTTTTTGGTGCTGGGGAGTATTTGGAGTATCCCCTTGCATAGGCGCCACATTTCCTGGGCTGTTTCCCCCTTTTGGCTATTTGAATAATGTTGCTCTGAATATTCGAATATTTGTGCACAAGTATTTGTTTTGTCCATGAAAAGAAGGCTTGAACCTTTGTAGATTTAAGAAAATACTCTTTTATATGGACCCAACTAAGGATATGCCCAGGAGCAGAGTTCCAAGAAGTCTTAAAACAGCGTGGGAGGGGGGCTTGTATAGGCAGGAGGACCCGAGCAAGGCAGCTGTGTTAGCAGTTTCAGTGAGTTCCATACATTCAAGGAAGCAGCACTCCACCGGGGGAGGGAATGCACAGATAAGGTAGGGTCATCAAGTAACGAGTCAGGGAGTCATGGGAATGGGTCTGGAAGCAATTATTTTGAAACCTTTATCAGGATGTAGAAAGAACAGCTCTGCCTTCTATAATCATTTATCTTTGTAATTGGGACTGTTAGAGAGTGTACGTGACTAGCTCCACGGAAGACCTTGCTCAGGAATTTGCTGTGTTCCCTTGGTTACTGATCAGGTTGGGGCAGCTTACACACCCTTTCCTTTCCCAGTGGCGAACTCTTATGTTCAGGTCTTTTGGGTAGACTCTTAGGAGAGGAATGGCTATGTCTGATTTCAGTTTTTTTGCAGGATTTCCCTGGGTGCTGTGTTGAGAGGAGATTGAAGGGAGGTGGGCATGAATTGGAGAGATGGGTGAAAAAACTACTGTACTAATGGGCACAAGACCATGGTGACCCAGATTGAGGGTTGGTGACTGGTGGTCAAAACATACGTGGTCTTGCATATAGAACCAACAGGATTTGATCTTGGATCAGATACAGGGTGTGTGAAAGAGAACAGAGTTCAGGATGATATGGAGACTTTTTTTGCATGCAAAATGACAAGTAGAGATCCTTGTCAGAGGAGGAGGAGTTGGGCGATATCAGAAATTCAGTTTTGGACGTGTTAAGTGTGAAATGCCAGTTAGAACTCCGAGCGGAAAAGGCAAGGGTATGGTTGTGTTTGCAGTGTATTGCTGTGTTTGAGAAAAAGTCGTGCTAATAAATGAATTACTGTCTAGGTTGATAAGGAAACCAACACAGAAGACCTCTTCCCGGAAGAAGTAGCGATTCTGCCGAAGGAGCGGCCAATCCACAGGGCCCGAGGGTCACCTTTCGTCCGCAGCAGCACAATTGTCCGTTCCCAGACTTTCTCGCCTGGGGCACGGAACCAGTATGTTTGTAGAGTAAGTTGGAATTCCTTTGCCACTAAAAAAAAAGCCCCCCCCCTGTTGTGTTTTACATTTGACTCATTTTTACCTACGTGTACTTACGACTAATCCCAGTAAATGAACTGCGTGCTTGTGTGGCTATGAATCCACGCTGGTTTCATCTCCCCTGCCTCGCCCATGTACATCTAACTGGATTTCCCCGGATTCTAACATGCATTAGCTGGACTTTCAGCGTTGTGTACGCACCATGGGTTGCGACTCTACGTGTCAGTTCACATCCCACTGGTGATGGCAGGAGGTGCTGGGTGGTTTGCAGACCTGGGGGCTCCTTGCAGTCCAGTCACATTGGGGGCCTTTGTAAGCGCTGGGTTCCACCCCCAAGGCTTGTCATTGGTCACAGTGGGCCTGAGCATCACACCTCTGGGATGTTTCCAGATGATTCTAGCATGCACACAGGGTCGAGAACCCTGAATAGATGTAGAGGGAGCCCCAACCCACTGTGGCTCCATTAGGGCAAAGCCAGAGTTAGATCACACTACATAAACAGGCCCTCATACCCGTGCAGGAAACCTGGGGAGCGTGGTTCAGGGGTCCCCAAGCCCACCCTGAGGTTCAGTAATGTGCTAGGACTTACAGAACTTAAAAAGCCATTGGTCACGTTGGCATAGTTGATTGTATGGCTAACTGTGGTCTCCAGCCCCTCCAGAGGTCAAGCTGATGACTAGGGGCACCCACCATAAATCACATTGTCAGAAAGACTACGAGGCTCGGCCCCAGGTTCCCAAAGACACTTACGCAGGACATTCCAGGGCCTTACAGCTCACCTTCCAGGAGCTGGGCAAGGACCTTGCTTGGGGGAAGGTTAATCATTTACCACACAGAATGAGCAGCAGGGGCTGGCGCCTAGGTGGTCCAAGCTGCCCTTCTGCCATGTTTGCGAGACTTGCTGCTCTCCTTTGCACAGAAGTGAGGTGTCGGGGTCACAGCTGCCCTGGGTAGCACAAGGTCAGGCCCAGCACTCTTGCCCCATCAGGATTCAACCCTGAGGGGCCAAATGCTTAACCAGGCAGTCGGTGCTAGATCAAAGGCCACCCTCACGTCCCATCCTTATTCTAGACTCTTGCCGAACACTGGGGAGCAGATTCAAGCCCTCCCATTGAGAAGGGGAGGTGGTGCAGGAGGAAACCCTTTACTTCCCCAGGGGAAGGCGTCCAGCTCCTGCCTGTGTCCTGCATGCTGCCTAAAAGCATGCGTTTACTGACGGTGCTGTCAGAGGCCCCTTTGTTCTTATACACGCCTAACGATCCAGGCATGTCAGCTGCCCCGCCACGGCGCTGAGTATTTCACGTTAATTGGCGTGGAAAATAAGGCCATGAAGGCAAGGACTTTGGCTTTGACACAGATACACATTGATCCTGGTCGAGAACTCGCCACCAAATGAAATACATAATGTCTTGGCTCCTATAAAGAAGGCATTGTTTATTTTCCTTTCGAAAGGCAGACCTTTTCCCTTGACTCGCAGAGCGGGCGTTAGTGAAGCTGGTTTGTCCAGCTCCAGGAATGAGTCCCTTTTTGGAAAGCTGTTTTTTCCCCCAGATCTTGCCCAAACCAGAAATACAGCAAATGACAATGATGAAAGCTGAGAACCTCTGAGGACAGTGCTGGCTTTCCTGAGTGTCACACGTCATATCAAGTCACAGTTGCTGGTGATGGGACAGAAATTTTGTTGACTTGATTCTCCTGGACAGCTCCTATGGTTCAGTTGATGGACATGAAGGAGGGCTGGGTTGGGAGGGGGGTTAGTTTGCTTATTTGTTGTTGTTTTTTTCCTTTTGTTTTACTTAAAAGTCTTGGGTAGGTTTTGTTTTTACTGAAACCAGGAGTCTCTGTAAAAGCACTAGAATTCGTAAATACATTTGAGTGCCTGTGAGGAGAAAGAAAATAATCCAATTCAGAGTACAGAGACAAGGAATGTTGAATTGCCAAGAGAGTGTTTCTGAACCTCATTCTTCTTGCTGCAGCTTTATCGTAGTGACAGCGACAGTTCAACACTGCCCCGGAAGTCCCCCTTTGTCCGAAACACTTTGGAAAGACGAACCCTTCGCTATAAGCAGGTGTGTGCCACATAAGCTAATGTGGAATCTACACTTACCTTAGCAGTTGTTGTTACAAAACTTAAAAAAGGTCATCTTTTGGGCAATATTAGTTAAAAGGTAATGTATTTATTTCCTGTTTACTTACACATTTTAAAAGTATAGTAATGGTGTCAAAATGTTACCTATATTTTTTAATGTCCTAAGATAATATCATGATCTAAGTTGTAAGATAATTCACGTTCTTGACATTTTAAAATATGATAAATTCATAAACAACTGTTCCACATAGAGTTGATTTTTTCTTTTTCCACAGGGGAGTATATATAGTTTAGGAAATTTGTTTTTCAACATAGAGCTTCTTCCCTCATCGGACTGTTCTATAGTTTTAGTTTCCTTTACCCACCAAACGTTTCTCCGTGTCATGCTACTTGACAAAGTTTTGCTGCTTTTAGTTTGTAATCTAGTGGTTCCGTCTTTTCTGGGCAAGGATTCTTCTAAAGATACATATTTTTAAAAAGCCCCAGTTTCCATGTGGCAGTTGTATTTCAAGTAACCACTGGCTGAGAATGGTAAGAAAATACACAAATTCAGCTACAAAAGTCTTTCTCAACAGCAACACTACTGACAACCAAAAATGTTTCTAAACACTGCCAGTGTCCCCTGGGGGGCCAAGTCACTTCTAGTTGACAACTGTTTTTTTTTTCCTGCTATGAATTCAGCAGTGTTTGAAATGCATTTGTTTATCAAGTCACATCATATTTGCATTAAAATTCTGCGTATGTCCAAAATGGTGTTAGTGTTTGTAGAAAGCATGCAGTTATACAGTGTGCCGAACAATGTTCACATGCTCATGGATTTGATTTTGCTGCCATTTCCTGGGTTGCTTCCCATCAAATGACAAGAACCGTTCTCACTCCACATGCAAAATTCGTGTCTTTGGACTTTTCTATTTTTTTTTTTTAATATGTTTTCATTGATTTTAGAGAGAGAGAGAGGAAGGGAGAGGGAGAGGGAGGTAGAAACATCGATGAGAGAAAATGGATCAGCTGCCTCCTGCACGACCCCTACTGGGGATTGAGCCCACGGCCTGGGCATGTGCCCACTGGGACTCGAACCGACAACCTCTCGGTGCACGGGGTAACGCTCAACCAACTGAGTCACGGACTTTTCTTAAACACAGCAGATTGGCTTCCTGGAGGCTTACATGGAGAGGAAAGCGGTGGCTTCATATGGTTTATGACATCGTTTTCCCCCTTATGCAGTAGATTATTAAGATATGCAGTAGATTATTAAGATATGCAGTAGATTATTAAGATATACAGTAGATTATTAAGATTTTTCCATGTCAATAGTGTGTCAACTTTTTCCAGTGGCTGCATTTTATGCTGGCCTTGTAATTAATTTGATAAATTTCCTCTTGTTATATATTTAGGTTTTCTCGTCTCGTGAACCTTAATTGGATCACTTTTTCATGTCATCAATTGTGCCTTTCAAATGCAAGTGAAAATGAAATTTAAGAACTGAAGAAAATACACATATTTTGGCTTTTGATCTATATTGTGAAATAGCATTTTAGAACAATTATGCCCATTTTTGATCCCACCAGCTTCATAAGACAGGGTCTGTTTATCTACACCTTTGCAAATACATAGGTCATTGCTAAAGAAAACAATTTGCTGTCTCGGACTTGATATTGAACTAGAGATTTCAATTAATCTCGCCCAGATCTTTTTATTATTTTTTTTAACATTGGACCATGTGAAGAGAAATACCTCTTCAGTAACTCTGCTTCACCTGTGTTCTTTAATTGGGGAAGAACCTTCTAGAAGACCCGAGCTTGCTGGCTACTTGGTGCCCGCAAGCCTGGTTCATGTGTGTGCTCATGGTAGTGGTCTCCTGCAGTCCTGTAGGTCATCCCTGGCCGAGCTCATGGCCCGCACCTCCCTGGACCTGGAGCTGGACCTCCAGGCTTCTAGAACTCGGCAAAGGCAGCTGAACGAGGAGATCTGCACCCTTCGTGAGCTGAGGCAGCGCTTGGAGGACGCCCAGCTCCGAGGCCAGACCGACCTCCCTCACTGGGTGCTGCGAGACGAGCGATTCCGGAGTCTGCTGAAGGAAGCAGAGAGGCAGGTAAGAGGCCTGGTCACAGTCACTGCCCTTTGCTCCACTGCGTGTGGGTTCAGAAGTAAGCATATCAGATGCTAAGACTCTAATTTCAGCGATCCAAGCTCTCATCCTAAGGAGCTAGGTTTCTCCCTCCACTTTGTGGGGTGTCTTGGATCCCAAGTCTATGAGGTGTGACCCTGAGTAGCTGCTGTGAAGATTCCCTAGAGGGAGTGGGTGGGGCAGATCTTTTTCCCCTGTGTGTCCCCAGAGCTGGGAGTGTCTTCATTCATTCTTCCTCCAAACTCTTCCTCCAAACTTGTTCATCCCATGTTGCTGTTCCAGACAAGACAGACCAAACTTGACTTCCACCAAGAACAGGCAGCTGAGAAGATGCTGAAGAAGGCCTCCAAAGGGGTCTGCCAGCTGCGTGGGCAGAACCACAAAGAGCCCATCCAAGTGCAGACCTTCAGGTAGGCGAAATAGGGCCTCACTTTCCTGCTCTTTACCATCACACCTTTGTTAGCATAAAAACTTATGTAAGTCTTGAAAGAAACCCTCAAAACAGGAATCCCCATGCTATTAGCATTCTGATGTTTTCTTCTAATCTTTTTATTTTTAATCCTCATCCGAGGATATTTTTCCATTTATCTTCAGATAGAGTGGGAGGGAGGGAGGGAGGGAGGGAGGGGGAGAGAGAGAGAGATATGAGAGAGACACATTGATTGGTTACCTCCCGCACAACCCTGACCAGGGCTGGGGATCAAACCGCAACCAAGGTATGTGCCCTTGACTGGAATCAAACCCACAGCTCTTTGGTTCTCAGGCTGACGTTCTAACTGCTGCGCCAAACTGGCCAGGGCTGATCTTGTCTTTGTTGACACTTTTTTCATGCTACTGGTAATAATAATGTGGATTCAGTTTTGCATTTAGCTTTGTTTAAATTAAAAGATCCCCTTGTTTTGACATAGTCTGTTCCCTTTGTCGGCTGTAACGGCTCATCTAATAGATATAATTTACCTGAATACTCTATTTGATAAACTGCTTCTTTCCAAATGTTTGCTATTATAAACACAGTGATTTACATGCGTGTACATCTATGTATCACCTTGGCCTTTTTCATTAACTTCTGATTGAAGCATAATGTACATACAGGGGCGTGTGCATATCGTAGGTGAGAAAAAGTTCAGGGAATTGTCACAGATTCTACATGGCAAGAATCAAACATGAGCAACCTTAGACTTCCCACACCTGAGTGACCACGGCCTGGAATTTGAATACCATAGATTATTTTCCTAATCTATTCACATAGCATAAAATTAACCATTTAAAGTGAACAATTCCATTTACTACAGTCTCAGTGTGTCGCAACCACTATCTCTGTCTAGTTTCAAAACAGTTCCATCCATCACCCCAAAAGGAAGCCCTTGTACCACTTAGCAGTCACTCACCGTTCCCCCTCTCCCAGCCTCTGGCAACTATTAATCGTTTCTGTCTCTATGGCTTTGCCAATTCTGGACACTTTGTATAAATGGAGTCATACAGTATGTACTTTTTTCTGCTTGGCTTCTTAGGATAATTTTTGTTTTAATCCTCACTCGAGGACACTTTTGCATTTATCTTCAGATAGAGTGGGAGGGAGACAGGGAGGGAGAGAGGGAGAATGGCTGCCACCCACACAACCCCAACCGAGAATGGGAAAAACTGCAACCAAAGTACGTGCCCTTAGTGGGAACCAAGCCCAGGACTCTCTGGTCCGTGGGCTGATGCTCTAACTCCTGAGCCAAACTGGCCAGGGCCTTAAGATAATGTTTTTGAGGTTCATCTACATTGTAGCATATGTCAGAACTTAATTTTTTATTTTATTTTATTTTTTACTCTTTTCCACCAGAAGCTAGGTCAAAACACATTTCAATTTCTTTTTTTAATTAATTTATTTTTTATTAATTAATTTTTGTTACAGATGATTCTTTTTCCCCACTGATTCCCCCTCCCCTCCCTCCCTGCCCTGTCCCCAGTTTGTTGTCCATGTCCACTGTTCATGCATACGTGCATATACAGAACTTCATTTTTAAAAAAAATGTTTTTATTGATTTTCGAAAGAGGAAGGGAGAGGGGGAGAGAGATAGAAACAGAGATGTGAGAGAGAAACATTGGCCGACTGTCTCCCACATGCCCCGAGCCCGTAACCCAGCATGTGCCTTGATTGGGAATTGAATTGGTGACCTCCTGGTGTATGGGAGGATGGTCAACCAACTGAGCTGTACCGGCGGGGCAGAATTTCATTCCTTTTTATGGCTGAATAATGTGTGCCTGAATTTTACCCTTAAATTTTTTTTTATACCTTGAATTTTCACATTGCCATCATAATCATAAAAGAACATAAATCAGTATAACTATTTTCCTTCAGTTATGATTTGGAACACCTTCATTTGTATGTGTAGTTCTTATTTATTCATTTATTAATAAAGCAAATATTTACTGAGCATCTACTGTATACCAGGCACTGTTCTAGGCACTAGAGACAAACCTTTGGTTTCGTAACTTCTGTTCAAATTTCGAGAGTCTATATACAAATATATTTGTTGTTGGCATTTAAATTCAATTTGTTCTATGAGTAAGCAAAGCTTTCATTGATATTGAGAGCCTCCAGGCAGCTTTCACTGGGTTTATATCGGCTTCTAACCTGTCATTCTCTCCAATCCCAGGGAGAAGATAGCATTTTTCACAAGACCAAGGATTAACATACCTCCTCTGCCCGCCGATGATGTTTGATGTAGTGCTTTGTACACATGAAGTATTTATCTTCCTGTTTTATTTTCATGAAGTTCTTAGACTAGCTAAATTCGTCTTTAAAATATTTGTGCAAAGCTATTAATATACACATTTTGTAAAAAAAAACACATATATCTATACATATATATTTTATAATAGTGACGGCAACAGGGCTTGGTTTTTCCTTGTTGTGAAATTGACATCTCTGAAGACAAGTTATTTTATAAAAGATCAACTATCATGTTAAGAGTGTACAGTTTTTACGCTGTTTTATTTGACTTAAAGGCTGGAAGACAGAAACGAAGTGAGTTCAGGCAAATTCACTGTATTGTAATTTATTTATAGTACTTTTTTTTTCCTTGAAGGAAAATACTGACTTGAAGGTGTATTTTAAGACTGAAATTTTGTTCTTCAGTATTTGTCCTGCAGTAGAATGGAACTTTGGGCCCGGTTTTGTTTCTGACACGGAAATGCAAACACTTTGTGCTAAATTCGTCACTTGTACCAGTTTGTCATGTGTGCCTTTATCATGTATATTGTCCACTGTCACACTCTTTGTGTTCTGTTCAGATCCCACTGGGGGCTCGGTCGTAGCTGACCCCTGTGCATCACAGAACTCGGTCTCCCACGGGGACTGCTCACTGAGAGCGCCTCCTTTCTGTGGTGTGTCAGCACGCACGGTTCTGTGCTCCCCCCAAATCTGAAGCGGGCCACCGAGCCCCCGGCGCCCTGGCTGGGGCTTGCGTGTCCGCGGCGGCTGTTTACACTGCCCTGCACCAGACCCGGGCCAGCCCACCCTTCCGGCGACCACCCAGGAAGGTGGTGCCGGGGCTCTGTTCTACTGCTCTGCCATGAAGGAAAGTGAAAAGGACCCAAGAACTCGCACTGTCATCAGTCAGGCAGCAGTTCTCACCATAGGCATAATCTCTGAAGGCGCTTTTCTGGGGAAGGAAGCGCATGCGCGTGACTGCAGTTACCCAGCGAGTCATTTACAGGAGAGGACATGAGTTATTTGATTTCAATCAGAATCCTTCCCCCCAATACTGGAATCTACCCAATATTTCTTAAGAAATCTTAGAAGTAGTTCATGAGAAATTTTTTTTTTTATGTAACAAAAAATACCATTATTCTTTTAAAATGCCAAATGATATAAATATTTTGCCTGATGCATATTTATTATATATGGAATGCACTCTCCTTTTTGAGACCTCAGAGAAGTAAATGAGGTAGTCACATGAAATAGAAAACAGAACCCCTCTTCCTAGATTTTTCTGCCCCTCCTTTGGAAATGCCCCCATTAATCAATGTTTCTCTTCTAAATCATTAGTCTGTAATCACCCCCTTGTATAAGCTACCTTCCTCTTTGCATTTATGAAAAGTGAATTTTGTAAAAGCATTTCATTGACACGCGACCTGTCACGGGCAATGGAATTTGTCAGTGGTGGTAAGACTGAAAACTTTATGCTTTTCACAGTTGTCATCTCTTGCTATGTATTTGTGCCTTGGCTCTCGCTGGTTTTTTGTTTTGTTTTGTTTTGTTTTGTTTTTTTGGGCTAATCTCTCTGTGTACATACCCACAACAGAGATGGAGACACGCAAAGCATCGCAGCCCGGCAGACAGCATTGCGGAGCACTGAGGACAACGGCGGCCCTCTCCATGCCCCCGCTGTTGAAACTTGAACCAAAGACTGTCTGCCGCTGGACTCTGGGGGTGTTGTGGGCAAACTGACGCCTCGGGTGCATGACTCCCTCACGTGGTAGAGTCCCCTGGCCACATGGCCTGGCCACTTCTTTTCAGCAGCTGCTACAAGAAACTGGCTCTGAGTGGGCCAGTGGGTTGAGGCCCCTTTTCTGCCAACCTCAGTGGCAGCTGTGCCCATGCGTAAAGCTCTCAAGCAAGGGTTTCCAATAACTCTCAATGCCCAGCGTATACAGATTTACATTGGAATGCCTCCCCACCCCAGGGTTTCACAAAAATCCCAGAAGCAAATGCAAGCCTGCTTTGATATCTGTCTGAGGAGTGCTTGTGGCGGTCCTCCCCCAGCCTCCACTGTCCTGGCCTGAAAGGGCACATAGCCAGTGACAGCCGACAGCCAGGGCAGTCACACGGGAGGACTCAAGTACCTAAAAGACTTCTCGTTCATCACTTGATTTTGCAGCTTCTGACTTCGTTAAGACTGCCACCCCCCCCCCCCCCCAAATCCACGCGTCAGAAAGTGAAGTCCTATCGTCTTAAGGGGTATTTTCATCTTTTTTAAAAAAATTTTCTATACCATGCCTTGTGATAAAGAACACTGTGCCATGCTCATCAGCAGTTCTAATCCACACACGGGGAAAAGGGAATTTGATCTTCACTTCATCTGATTATTGAATTGTCACCGCTGAAATCAGTAACCTTCTATTGTGGGAATAAGTTCCAATCAGTGGTCATCTCTGTTCTGATTGTGTCATTTGTATTGCTTGAAAGTATTTCTTCTATAAAATTAAACTAATCTGCCTTAAGAACCAAATGGAAATGTGTGATTTTTCAAATAAAAATTTAATTGCAGGGACTTAGATATATGAAAGTGTATATCATCATTTTCAACATAAAAATGGAAGTATAAAAACAGTCAAATGAACACATAAGCAGCCGTCCCCCGGTTCAACATGGATCAGTCAAGGCTGATCATGTCTCGTCTCCACATCCACCTGCCTCCCGTCCTCATGTGTTAACATTTACTAAGTCCTTAATGTCATTATCCAGGGATCACCTTCCCAGTTGTCTCATAGGTCATTCTTTTTAAAGATTTTTAAAAATTGATTTTTAGAGAGAGAAGAATAGAGAGGGGGAGAGAAACACTGATGTGAGAGAAACTGATGGGCTGCCTCCTGCACACTCCCTACCGGGGATTGAGCCTGCAACCTGGGCCTGGGCCCTGAATGGGAATCAAGCCAGCAACCCTTTGGTGCATGGGACAGTGCTCCAGCAACTGAGCCACACTGGCCAGAGTGGTCATTCTTTTTGAAACTGAACAGAATCCAAGTATGATCCGTTTATTGGGATTTTTTTTTTTTGTTTTCATATATTTTTTGAACGCTTCACCCGTTTCCCCCATGCCCCTACCCCCCACGTCTGGCAACCATCAATCTGTTTTTTTGTTTGTTTGTTTGTTTGGTTTTTGATAACAGCTTTCTTGAGATAGAATTCACCTACCATACATTTCCTCCTTTTAAGGCATAATTCAGCAGTTTTTAGTATATTCAGAGCTGTGCAAATACCACTACAATCAATTTTAGGACTTTTTCATCATCCCCAAAAGAAACCCTATACCCATTAACAGTCACCCCCCAAGTCTCCCCTCCCCCTGGCCCCTGGCAGCTACTATCTGCTTTCTGTCTAGATTTGTGTGCTCTGGACATTTCATATCATTGGAATCATACAATATGTGTGTCTGGCTTCTTTCACTCAGCATCATGTCTTCCGGGTTCACCCACATTGAGTGTGTGTCAGAACTTCATTCCTCTTTAGTGCTGAGTAATACTGCATTGTGTGGATGGGCCACATTTTGTTTATCCATCTACCAGATGGATATTTTTAGCTATTATGAATAATGTTGCCATGATCGTTTGTGTTCAAGTTTTGGACAGATGTTTTCATTTCTCTTGTGTCTCAAACTAAAAGTGGAATTGCTGGGTCATGTGGTAACTCTATGTTGAACTGTTTGAGGAACTGCCAGACTCTATTCCAAAGCATCTGCACCATTTTACATTCCCGTCAGCAGTGTATGAGGGTTCCAATTTCTCCACATTCTCTCCAACACTTGCTATGTCATTTTGATCTTAGCCATCCATGTAGGTGTGAAGTGGTGTCTCACTGTAGTTGTGACTATGTTTAATCTACAGGATAACCCCCCCCCCCCCCCATCATTTGTCAAAGAAACAAGGGTGGGTGTCCTCTTAGTCACCCGTATTCTGGACGTGAATCGAAAAGCTTGATTAGATTCCACTTCATGTTTTTCCTTTTTCTGAGGGTGGGGAGTGGGTGGCAAGCCATTCATATGTTCATCTATCAGGCAGCTTATAATATCCTTTTGTAATGTTTGCAATGCCCATCAATGCCCAGATCCATTAATTCACTAAGGGTTGCAAAATGATCATTCTATTCTATCAAATTTTAAACATGATTACTATGAAATACCCTTGTAAAGAGAAACTTCATCTATTTGTTTACCCAGTGATAGTTTGTATGGGAAAAGCAAGGTAAATGCTCGATTCTTTTTTTTTTTTTCTTTTAATCCTCACCCAAGGATATTTTTCCATTTATCTTCAGATAGAGTGGGAGGGAGGGAGAGAAAGAGAAACATCAATGTGAGAGAGAGACATCGATTGGTCACTTCCAGCACGACCCCTACCAGGGCCAGGGACCGAACCGCAACAAAGGCACATGCCCCTGACTGGAGTCGAACTTGAGGCTCCTTGGTCCGCGGGTCAACGCTTTAACTGCTTAGCCAAACCAGCCAGGGCAAATGCTCAATTCTTATCTTTATTGACCAGTTTCAAAAACAATGGATTGTTTCCCTACATTGTACAGTGGTGACCACTTTCTTTTTTGATTTTGGGGGTTTTTATTTTTAGTATGTATCATTAACACAGAGATCAAAATACATTTGGTGTGCTTTAATCCATTGGAGTTGTTATCCTTAGTGGTGCTCAAATTCTTCCATCTTTGGCTGGGGAACCTCTCCTGGTTGGCTCCTGGGCCCTTTTGTTATATACCTAAGAGTCTCAGGTGAGCTTCTTGCTTTCTGTCTGACTAGGTATTTCTGACCTGGAAATGATCATGTCCAGGGACACCTGGTTTCTTGGTTATGGGGGTACTCATTGCCACTGGGTTGTTCATTGTTTCTAGGCCTTTTCAGATGCTAGACAATATTTCCTTTTTTAAAGGTAGGATCAAAAAGGGATGATAGAAAGAGAATCTCACATAATTACTCCTGTGCTTTATTCCGTATCACACAGATACAAAATCATGTCAGAAAAACACTACCAATATGGCCACCAATATATAGTTACTGGAAACGGACATTTTTCTTGCAGTTATTTTAGACCTTAAGGCATATCTCACTAGGAATATGTCAT